GGTGCTAGTGTCATACCAACTATTCTATTCTCAGAATTTATTACAAATTTTACATATAAGTTTACCTGGAGCTATAGTCTTCTCCAAACTTAATGCGGCTTCATTATTATAAACGACCGAAATATATCGAAATAGAGAAGATAGAAGTCAAATGTACGTGTGTAACTTTTAGTGGATAAAGATGAGGTAATATGCATGTGTAAGTAATCAACATTTTTGTGTACTATATGCCTTAAATTGTCTACAATATTATTCATCACGGCAGTCATTAATGATTTACATGTATATCACCGAATTCGTTGAATTTGCAATCCCATCCTCGTACACAAGTTGTCTGTACTTTTGCTTAAAGGTTTCTCCATTATTCTCATGGATCACCTCTCATTCGATTTTTACCATTTCAGTTGATCGACACCTAACCTTCAATCAACCCTTCACTACATGCCCAAACTTACTTTCACTATTACCTTTGCTTTTTTTCTTGGCAGCTGTACTGGAGTAAAAACAAAAAAGCATATGTGATCTACTAATAAGACAAGGTTGTAATATAATGTCATGATTGAGCCTAAAATCTTGAAGAAGGGAAGGCTATTTTAACCCTTCATCTTTCCACTTTTTAATACTTCCTCAGTATATGAATACAAATGTTAGGAGGAGAGTATAGTCTTTTTTGGCTTCAACATAACTCATCATCCACTCGCATACGTTATTATAATCTCAAATCAAAATTGAGGAGGTTGTACTTCTTAAACTACTTGTATGTTGATACGACTTGAATCGAATTATCTGTTGTCAATCAGAAGTCACGAGATATATTCTCGCTGTCAGGTCAGCTAGTCGGGGTTCAATTAGGAGGCTTGTGTGGGAGCAAGGGGGTTCAGGTGTATGGGCTTATACATGTTAGGGTTTCTGTTCTGGAACTGGTCTGTCTTTAACCTTGTTCTTTACCAGATAGGATTAAATTTATGTCGTCCGGAGAAGTACGTACTATATATACTTCTCAATCCCTCTGTAATCAGTAATCTTCTCAAGTACAGTGAAACTGATTATTATCTCCCGCTGCCTGTGGACTAACTAACACGCATTGTGTCAATGAATCACATAAATATGTACTGTGCATTCTTTATATTTCTTGAATTGTCGATTATCCCAATTCATTCTCGTCATGACAGTTTCGCTTCCTATTGTAACACGTATACATGGGAAAATGAAGGGGATTGCTTGTTATATCATGCGGTGTAGTGATGATAAGGAAAGATATCGACTTAGTTAGCCGATTGGAACAGTAGATCGAGCAGAGTTAGAGATGCATGAAAACGAAGGACGATGACAAAGATGGGTTGGGTTTGTTACGTTGTGGATATCTCAAAGCTAGGAATTGAAAGAACGGCCGAGCGTGTATGGTGGGCTGGCGGGCCTGGGTGTGAGATGAACCAACCAACCAAACAATAGAGGAGGAGGCGGTTCGACATTGGAACGTGCATGGCCGTCCACAACCACTGAGGTGGTGGACTGGTGGTTGGTCCCGTACACTATTCCATCTTTTCTTCATTCAAGTTTTGGTTTACTATTTACCATGAATCATATTAGGGGTGGCTATACGCTCTGGTCCGATTAAATTGGCCCAAATTGATCCGGTCTTTTCGAAAATATAAGGACCAAAAATTGGATTGGATACAGTTCGGTTTTGATCCGGTCTGGTCCCAATTCGGTCTTGATTTTATATTGAGCTTGCGGGGATTTGAGTGGCCTAAGGCCCGAAAGGGTGAGGAGTTGGTTAAGTTTTGTACTAAGTGCAAAGGTTTGTGACCGTTTATGCTAATTATCCTTAAGTTTTGGGTGTTGAGCTCTCTAATCTGGTCTTTATCCAGTTTTTTTATCCAGTCTCAAACGATTTTTTACCTCAAATCTAAGCCCAAAGATTGGATTGGATTGTTTACTATCCGGTCCAGGTCCGGTCTCGGTCCGAGTTATACGGTCCGGTTTAGGGTAAAACCAAAAAACCCGAACCAAATAGCCAGCCCTAGATCATATTATACATAATGTTCTTAAGAAAAATTAAATAAGATAAAGTTAATTATACTTGGTCCCGCACTGAACCAGGCTCTGATACCACTTGTCATAATCGGGATGCTCATTAGTACGATATTGTCTGCTTTGGGCCAAACCCGAACGGTTTTACTCTTGGGTGTCCTACCTGAAAAGGCCTCGTACTAATGAGCTTGGTGGACACTAATATACAAAGGTTCCTTCACTTGTATTATCGATGTGGTACTTGGATTGTCCTTAACATCAAGATCGGCTTCCACGATTCTCGGTAACTTATACTTGGCGGAACCTTTGGAGTTAGCTAGCAATTCATTTGGCTGGCGTTTTTCATCCTTTTAGTGTTTATTTTTCACTTTATTCCTAGGGACTAACAGAGTAGTTACTAAAATGGCTCTTTTATCGGCAGATCGATTAGTATTGACTGTCGCGTTTAATTGCTTTGTTGTTCTTTAACTATTCGTTGCCACTACTCATGACAACAACAACAAAAAACTTCTATTTATTTATTCTTATGAAATGTGGTTCGAGTTTCGATATATAATAATACCAAATGACTCATTTTTTTATCATTGTCGTACGATAACGATGATATATTATGATGGTACGAAAAAAAATTTACAAGTTCATACATAACAAAGGGTTAGATTATACTATCGAGTCACTCTCACTCGTATGAAGAGCGGAGGCCATTATGCGGCTACGTGGTTCTTTCAAGTCCCCATATATCTTATAAATTCACGTCTGCGAGGAGCTGCCCAAGGTCTGTTTTTGGCCTGTTTTGGTCCCATTTTTTGCACCTTCTTAAAAACATTTTTAGAGGCTCAAACTAAATCAGGGGACCAATCATTCTTAATGTTGTGTAATCATAATCCTATGTTGTTAACATGTCACACCTTCGTATAAATGATGATCATATGATAATTAATAAAAGTTTCGTCAAAATCGATCCGTTTTTCATATGTACTTATTGCTTTTTTTTCCGGTTTTTCTTTCTTCTAAAATATCCGTCTTTTATGTGACCTTAAAGAATAATATAATGATTCGATCAATAATAATGTTATTTCTGAATGTTAATTATTCGTGTGTTTAGTTATCCGATCTATCCGATCGTTACGAACGAATTTCGAGCTAAACTAATTGTCAACATCATTCCCATTCCTACTCAGATCTAACGCTTGTGAAAGAGATAATAGGGAGATTTTGAGATTTGTAGTACTAATGGACAAGAAGAGCTGGTGGATGGCAAGTCCCTCTCAGAAGTCTGAATCTCTGTGTCTCCTTTTATTAAGGGGTCTTCATGGGTTCTGGATCTGGTCTTATCAGGAACTAACTTCTTCTATTATCATAACAAGACTGCCAAAACAGAACACGATGGCAAAACTCAAAACACCCACAATCCTCTGCACACTGCCACATCGAGATTCAAGCTGGTTAAACAGTTTATAATATACTACTGCAAGTGACAGCTCGGCTGCGCTTAAAGATACAGTCATTAACAGCAGGATCGATACAGCCAGCCAGCCAGACAGCAAGTCAAGTTAAAACCTTTAATTAGAGCAATAATTTATAGGTTTGTTGTCAGGAACAAATGCCAACTGATTAATACAAAGCTGGGTTTAGGTTGATTTGCGTCATAGTTAAGAAGACTATGGGTATTAGTTAGTTTGAATTATGAGATTAATTAGCTTCATTTTTAATAACATGCATGATTGGGAACAAGCATGTGGCTCATCATGTGCTCTGCGATATGTATATCTGGCCCCATGGAACAAGAAGATCTTTCCCAGCATTTTGGTTTTTATCAATTAAATGATGGGAGGTAACCCGTCACCTCAACCGATAATAATAGAGAGATGAAAATTGTTTCCTCTTTCTCCTATTTGGGTCAAATACCAACGATGATTTGTAACTTAGTCGCATCATGAATTTAATTAAAGATGTAAATTTAATAATGTTCAAAGTTCATCCTGAATAGTAACAAGAGGACCGTTGGATAGGGCTATTTCTGGTCATACTAAGGTTATCAATTCTGAGTTCAATGTTTTTTGGTTGATTGACAAAATCGAATAATATAACTTCTGTTATCAATTTTGCTTGTAACAGATTTTGCACTTATTGGTTGATAATGGCAAGAAACACAAGAGACTAACTAAACACATTCAATACGAGTCTTTTTCGTGGCTACCCGGTTTATAACCCAAACGAAATTCCGCCTCATAAGACTGACTCCAACCCTAGAGCTAAAAAGCCATTTACCCATTTTTAGCTCTTTTTTGGTGCTCCAACCCATATTATTTTGGGGAGCACCAAAAAAGAGCTAAAAATGGGTACTGGTGAATTGGGAGCCAAATTTAGCTCCCAAAAGAGTGGAAAAGCCAAATTTGGCTAGAGAAAATGGTGGACCCGGGGCGGCGGGCCCTCCTTTATTTTTTATTTTTTATTTGTTTCTATGGAATTTTCTCATTGGTTGATTGTGTTGTTTTCCTTTTTTCTTTTTTTGTGTGGTATTTTGTCATTGGTTGATTGTGTATGTTGTTTGTTTAATTGTTTGAAAGAAGATATGAATTGTATTATGTTTAATTGGTATTTTCTCATTGGTCCCGAAGTGAACGGTAACAAAATAATGACTAATTTTCCGAAATATTTTTTGTCTCGGAATTTAAAAAAAAAGTACATCGAAAATTTTGTTTTCAAAAGTAATAACTAACTATAGAATAAGTAAAGTGAAATATGAAAATTAGAGGTCAAATAAGTACGGTTTATTGTAATAAATTGAAAAAAGGAGATGGGAAGCGAAATTTAGCTTTGTGTAGGGTTGGAGTGAAAATGGGATTTGGGGAGCTAAAAAGTCATATTTGGCTATTTGGGGAGCCAAATTTGACTTTACGGGTTGAAGTTAGTCTAATCTCTTCATATTTCCTTGAGCAGACCAAAGGGGAGGGGAGAGAGAGAGAGCATAATATGATAAGTTAAGCAACCATCAATTGAATAACGCAAACCACTAGCCAATATTTTTTGCAAAAAAAGAAGGGAAAAAAAAAAAAAAGATTCCAGGCAAGAATCTACAAATCCTATCTAAAACAAAGTAGGCAGTATCTGGGGGAGTCAACAACAGGAAATCCGAAGTCAACCTGGAGAAGGAGGAGACCCAGAATCCTAGGATCCCGCAACCTGCTCTGCTTTCGCTCTTTTCCTAATGCAGGGTGAGTGAGACATGGCGTTAAACATGGAGATTTAACCACACTTAAGTTCCATTCATGCTCTGTCTCTCTCTCTTGTGAGAACCTTCCTTCCTTCCTTACTTAGTTCTCCATCGATCAGCTCGCTCCACAAATCAAGCACCAAATTTGGTAATGGATTCAACACCTGGCAAAAAAAAATACACATGTGAGTCACCAGATTGAGAAACTAGTGGGTAACCAATGACCATCCTTTGTAGGCGAAGGATTTCCAGGGGCCATGTTCCCCAAATTGAATTGCTTAATACGATGGTCGGCTCAGTGCATGTTACATGCTCTTACCCCTCTTGGCTGCAGCAGTTCCCCCACACGGCATATGCAGTTGTCGACATAGCTATAAGCCTATATAGCCTTTCTGATCAAGCGCAGCCAGTCCATACCGACTCGACTCGAAACGGACTGATATGACCACCCTTCACAGCAGTTCTTTCTCCAGCCTCGACTTACATCGACTCGCCACAACACTATAGTGACCCAAATCCATCATTGCTGGTGTTTCGTGCTCGGTATGTTAGCTCTAGGAGATCTATGCAGCCAACATTAGCATATATATATATGTACAATTAGTTGATATCAAACGAGGTAGCTTTATCTTAATCTACCTGACCTCAAATGCCGCGGAGTAAGCCCGAGATCCTGCAGGCTACAGCCCACGTTCGAGCAAGAACTGTACATCGTGAGCCTCGAGCTTAATTCTCTAGCTTGCAAAATGGAGTCCCATGTTGGTCAACTCTGCCCAAAAAAGTTGTCAACTTGCTCTTCGCCTGTTGAAGAAAGTCAACGGTGAAATCGAGCGGCCTGATGTAGATGAGCCGCACTATCGAGCTGCGGTGGTGGCAAGGTATGGAAGAACATTGGAACCGAATTCTGGAGTTGCTTCGGAACCATGCTCTGTGATTGCCCAGGATTAAGATCAGACATTTCCTGCCGAGAAACCAGAGACATCGTCAAATGACTCAAATGTTTGAAAATCATTAGGAACTCCTCAGATTTAACACGGAATAGGGGTGTGCAGCGACTCTGGATGATAACAAACAGAATTGGCATTTGGATCGCATCAGGCAATAGATCTTCTAACAACAACGAATGAAAAAGGAAGACTGACTCAAAACCTGACAATATCAAAAGGATCAAGACTTTGGTCATTATTTTTCCAGTGTTTTCCATCCAGTTCTATGCCGATCCGATTGCAGACCATGCACACCCCCTTATATATCAAATACCACTAGATTGAAAGCTTCCAGTGTTCTGACACTTTTAGTAGCACCCGACTGAGCAACCTGCTGCATACAAGAAATCAAAACACTTAGCAAACAGCCAGTCGAGAACAGATACAAAGTCCCCAACTACATCATATAACCAAGAAACCAACCTTTCCTTTGGTTCCCTTCTCCTTTCCAGTTTCTGACAATCGAGGAGCCTTGTTGCTCGATATCACAATGTCCAACTGAGGTTCAGATTCTCTCTCGACAGATACATTCTCTTCTTCACCAGAGTGATTCACACTCCCACATTGCTTCAAACCCTCTCTAATAGCAGAAAGTGCAATGTTGTAACTCTCCTGGGAGAGTGACCCTTCTTCTCCCAATATTATAGCTCTACGACACAAATCATTGAACCTTCTCACCCTTTCCTGCACTTCATCCAACTTCCCACTAACCGGCTTCCTACTTCTAGCAGCATTCGTCCACCTCTGCAACACATACTTTGATGGAATACTGAACACACCAGACATCTGAAGAACTACAATACCATGCCTGCACAGATAACCTTTAAACTCGAATGAACGACACGAACAACATATCTCTGATCCTTTAGCATTCCACTCCACCACATAATTCTGATCATCCTCAAAATCCTTCACAGCATACACCATGGTGGTAGTCCTCTCATCCTCGCTCTCTTTCTTCAGATGACAAGCTGCTGCTCCCAAAACCTCCAGCTGGAACTTTTTGAAAATCTCATGTGTATAGATGAGATGCACCTGCTTCTCAAATGGGGATGGCGATTTCAACTCGGGGACCTCATGCCACGCATCAAAATCTGCTTTGGCTTCTTCCTCGTACATGTCTTCCAGAATCGATTTATACTGTTCTACAAACTCATTCACCGACGTGTCTCCTTGCACATACTTGTCGAATTTAGAGTTCAAGCTCTCGGCTCGTGAGTATGCAGAGAGACTAGCAAAGGTCACATCTCTAAAAAAAGTAGGCACCCAAAGTCGCCGATCTTCGTACAATGACTGAAACCATTCCACCTCTCTGACATGGAATTTGTCGACCAATTTCCACCATCTCTTCTCGAACTGCTCCTCTGTCCATGATTTAAAAACACACTTATGAAACTTCACAGTGAAGGCATCATTCCACAGGCTGAAATACTCGAGCTGCCGGGGGACCTTCTCCAGGATGTAATAGAGACAAAAGCAATGTTGAGTTCTCGGAAAGACTGCTGCAACTGCAGTCTTGATCTCATTACTCTGATCGGTGAGCATAACTCGCGGACCTCGATCCCCCATAGCCACTGACCAGGTCTGCAGCAACCAAACGAAAGTATAGACCGTCTCATCAGCGATCAACCCACAACCAAGCAATGTCGGCTGAACATGATGATTCGATCCTACGAAAAGAACCAGAGGTATCCGATACTTGTTCGTGAAATACGTGGTGTCCAAGCACACCACATCACCAAAGTTGTTGAAATCTTCCATTCCCTTGGCGTCGACCCAGAACAAGTTCCTCAGCTGGTGCTGCTCGTTCAAATCAACAGCGTAGTAGAACTTCGGATTCTCTTCCTGCATCCGAGTAAACGTCTCGAGCAAGACCTGAGCATCACCTGATTCTAACACCAAGCGCCTTCCTTTATCGTGCTGACTCCTCATGTAGCCATCGAGACAGTCCAAATTCTGATACGCCCCAAACAATTTGGAGGACCCAGAGCCGCTGCCGCCGTTCTTCTTCCTACGAACGCGAGAATCGCTGCCGTTGTCGAGGGGATAAGTGGCGGTGGCACTGTTTTTATGGCTCCTGAAGAAGTGAGCTTGAGCGGGCAAGAGCTCGTGGTTGTGCTCTTTGACAAAGCTGTGAATGTACCATTTCCCGTCCTGCCTCCTCTTCACGTGCATGCTCGCCTTGCAGCCGATCTTCGGAGACGGCCGTGGGTTGATCGCGTCGTCGGACTGCTGCTTGCTGCCGTACCGGATGCAGGAGAATTTGGCGTCGATGAATTCTTTTGACGCCCTGGACCTCCTGCTGCTCAATTTCGCGGTCCCGAAACCTACAGACCTCGCGTACTCTTTGTAGGACGAGTACGCTTCGTCGTGCGAGTCGAATTCCATGTCCTCCCGTAGCTCGGAGGCTCCACTGCCGGCGGCGCTTTCGCGAAGATCCATTTCTTTTCGCAAGGCGAAATCAGTTCATCCCACCAATAACTCAAATTCAAACGGAGAAGAACCAATTGCAAGCGAGATTCAACCTAATCTATACTCGGGGGATAGCTCTCCTATACCCATTTGTTCGCCGACGGAGTTACAGATGGAATGAGGAAATCAAAAGATGGGGGAATACGGCGATTGGATACCTGGAGAAATGAAAAATTCGGCGGAATGGGGACGAAGGGGGAATGCCGGAGAAGGACGGAGGAATGAAGGGGTAGGGACTGGTCCGGGATCGCCGTTAGGGTTTCCGGTCCGTCGTCGCGATGGAGGAGGAGGAGGAATTAGCAGAGAGGTTTTCTTTTCTTTCTCGCCTACTCGCTTGGCGGTTTCTCGCGTCTTCACGCGTCAGCTGGCGGGAGACACGTGGTGGAGTGAGGGCTGATTTTGTAATTTCGCGCGTTTGGTTCCCGGGATATCTTGACGACGACCATGCGAGTGGGATTTGCACGTGGGCAAGGCAAACGTTCGATTAACCAGAGTTGATTAATTGGTTAATTCATCTTTTTTTAATGTATATGTTTTACTTTACCGTAAAAAGTGGCGATAGTAAAACGACGAGGAGAAAACGACCGCACGATTATTGGGCTTTTGGCTTCGATTAGACTACCCAGGAAGATAGAAAGGAATAATGCACAGTTGATGCCCATATCCAGTGGACTTTTGTTTAAGTGGGCTGGGTTATAAAGTGTCCAAACATCATTTCTTTCAACATGTCCAGTTAGAAAACAAATTGTAGCAAAGGCAAAAAAAAATTAAAGTTATTTGAATGAATTAATTTTTATTTGCCATAGATAATGATAATATTCATTCAATATTTTTCTTATATAAATTGTAACGATAGATAATAAAGGACGAAAATTTTTCTTCGATTCTTGTTTCAACATTGCGCGTTCGAGTAGTGGAGGTTATCAATGAGGTGGGTTGAGATGGCAAATGAGGTCAGACATTTCAACTCTCATATATTGAATACTGATATACATCAAGTAAGAGCTTTTGCAGAACATGAGGTAATACAAAGCAATCTAAAAACACTTTTGGTGGGAATAAAAAGCAATTCTATCTATCGTAAATTAAAAACACTGCAACTCAGATCATATTGAAAATCAAATAATTGTAATATATTTTATCGAGTCTCATTTCCATTGTATTTCAAAGAGAGCTCGTCCCATAACACGAGAAAGCAGGTCATACATAAAAAAGAATGAACGGCATAAAAGTTTCCACCTCTTTCTAACTTTTTCCTCCATGCTACACCAAACTTCTCACTCGATAACGACAAAGTCTTTGATCTACCATTAGATCAAAATCCATGACAAGATGTCCTAGCATTTCTTGAACAACAAGATGCTCTTAGTCGTTTAACAAGATACTTGCTAGTTTTCTTAACATTTGACTTCCAATTCAACCAAAAGAAGGGACTTCAGTCTTCAAATGGTTCCTTCCACCCACCTTTTGTCACTATTCAAATCGATCATTACAAGTGGAACCCTAACAAATAAAAAGATGTAAAGCAACACCACCACCACCAACAACAAAAGGTGGTGTGGTGGAATGGAATGATGAATGGCTGCACCACCAAGTTACAAGATTTTGATGCCAAATTAAGTAAAAAATTGATGGGTTTGCTTGAAGGTTTAGTTTGGGAAAGAATCTTATTCGAGTTGGGATACAGTAAAACCCCTCCTCCAAAAGCAAAGTGAAAAAAAAGTGCTCAAGAAAGGAATTACATGAATATAGGCCTCTTTACAAACTTTGGCCTCCTTTTGATCCTCTCTTGTCCCATTTCTTTGCTATTCTCAGCTCTTGTCTTGTTCTAGCTAGGAACAGTCATTGCTTTTCTGCCTTTGTTCCATCTTTTTGGGTTTGTCATCTTTATGTATCTCTATTAGTTTGGCTTGGAGTTTCACGAGTTGAGGTAGCCAGGCAGGCAGCAGGTGTCACTACAAGTAAAATCCTTCCCCACAATCACAACTGTTATAAACGCGCTGCTACGGATCGGGAAATCGTCGGAATCGACAAAGCAAGAATACGAAAGCGAGAATCGAAAAACACAGACACACGATTTACGTGGTTCACTAACACGATGTGTGTTAGCTAGTCCACGGGCGAGAGAGAGTCAGTTTCACTTTATCGAGGAGATTACAGATTACAGAGGAGTATGAGAAGTACCCCCGATTACCAGTCGTAGCGGCTGATAGTCCGATTCAAATCATATCAACAACAACCACAACCACATTTTCTGTTGTGCTAAAAATCCAACACCACACCTTCAAAGTCATCGCACTATTTGATGATCATTGAATTATTTTAGTTTTCTCCCCATAATCGCTGCAACTACCCAGTTGACCATTCTCCCTCTCTCTCTCTCTCTCTCTTTCTCTCTCTCTCTAGCCTTCATTGTCTATTATCCTTCTCTACCAGACTTGTACTAGATGTGGTATGAAACTGTGAACAGAGTAAAAAATCTGAAAATGACTCTATGTTTGTGAGGGTTTGGTTGGTAACCACATTTGAATTTGATTCCTAGCTATAGCCTATCTGACTAACTCGTCTATTTCTAAACCGACATATGCCAAAGACGTAGTATTATAATTGTTGGGGTGTAGTACTAGTTCGCCTAATACGACAAACGATTATTATTGGGCCCAAGTCCATCGCAAGACGTCCCGAGCCCAAGCGCTCTCACGGAGGCCCAAATCCTATATAAGGGGGCCGAAGCCTCCAAATCAAGAAATCCTCTTCTTATTTCTCTTCCTTACTTTCTCAAAAAGGTCTCTCTAAATCCTGTCTCACTACTTCTCATATACTATTCCTGGACCGCACTAACATGAGCGTCGGAGCGTAAATCCCGGGGGCCGCCCCCCTCCTCGCAGGTTCTTCCACTCCCGAAGAGATCAGACGAAGGAGTTCAGATCAAAGCCCTAGAGTAATTAACCATAGAGACTTTACCGGGTCAAACAATTGGCGCCCATTCTCTTGCATCCCATATTATCATGTTTCATTTTCTCTAGTTGTGTTTATTATTATTATTATTATTATTATTATTATTATTATTATTATTATTATTATTATTATTATAAAGTGGAAGCATGGGTACCTGGCCCAACCAGGGCTCGACCACTGGGTTCCCAAGTGTTGTCTGTTGCCCTTCACGAATTCCGCTCCCTTCCCATAACGATGGACTTGGAATTTGGAAGCGCACCGAATTAATGAATATATTAACCCAAAATGAAAAATGGTTAACAAGATTATTTAGGAAGATAACCCCAATTAAGAATAAGGATGAAAGCGACGTCGTTGGTATCAGCAATAGTTTACTACACACGGCCCATGATTGCAAAAGGGAAGGGGGGCGAGTAGGCCACGGCGTCACGCTTTTTAATAAAGGATGGTTAGGATTAGGAATCGAGTTTTTAGTACTAATCATACCATTAATTAATTAATAATATGTGTCATTAAAAGTAAATAATATATTTGTCTATTGATGTCTCGATGAACTAAATGGGACAACTCACCACGCTACTAAGCCTACCCTTAGGTTGCGTTTGGTTGTATTGTATTATATAATGTTAACAAAATGAGCATTTCCTAATAATGGTTAAAATTCACCCTAGCTAGATAGTAATAAGGGCTCAATCAACCCATTAAACAAACAAGATAAGCATATAACTAAGAAATATGTTTTTATTTTAATATTGATTTGGGTAGTAGTGATTACAGGCTATAGTGCACTGCCAAACAAAGGATTTATCAGTTGATCTTTTTGTTAATACCAAGTATTGAAATTGAATATTGGTTCACTCACAATTGACTCGATTACTTGCTTTAAGAGATTCCTGGCTTTTCATCGTCAAGAATGCCTCCTCCGATTCTAATGACAATTCATCTGGTTTAAGTTTGCAAATAGTCTTGTAATTTATTATTATCGTGATTAGAGTCGTAACTTTATAACATTGGGTTCGGATCTTAATGAATTTTTCTGATTTCCTCAGGTTCTTATCGATTCCAGTATGACTATAAAATTATTGTATATAAATCTATCTCCAACTATAAATTAAGAAATCAACTTCACTAAAACACTTACGACTCAATAAATATTACATATTTTCAATACTCGTGTTTACGTCGGATGATAAATATGATTGCACATATTGTAATCGATGAACTGTCGGATACAACCGCACACTCGCTCTCTTCTCCCCTCTCTCTTGGTCCATACATCCACTTAATTTGGTTACGCTTGAAACTAGTAATTCATTAAATAAACCCGAAACCAAATCATTATAAATTTTAAGTACTTAATTACACGAAGTCTGTAGAAGATAGAAAAGTGTGAATCTTTACTGGTAGTAGCTGTACTCCACGTTATGAGTGTCTAATTGGTCACAAACTCAAACCAAGATTAGTACCCACGTCAATAAGCCATTGTTCTTAATTAATATCTTCCACCACCAAGTTTTAATTGGCTTCAATTTTTAATGTTGTCACATGTGTCTCAATTTTAGTGGGAAGCAAACTTTTATGTGAATTCTTAAAACATACGTGTCATATATAAATATAGGGCAAAAATACCCCAAATAAAGTATGTACATATGTCCAAGTTTTGGTGAACCCCCAAAAAATTGGGCACTTAGATGATGGAGCAAGCATAATGTTTAAGGGGTTGGTGGGTGGGAGGGAGGGAGGATGGTTAGTAATATATTTTAATTATGTGTGCACCTCACCACATCTTATTTGCTTTGATTATTGGATTACAAGAATCTTGTACCAAAGGAACAAAATCTTTATACTTCAAATGGTTCATAGTCTTTATAATTGAGTTGTTCAAATGGGAAGGAGCAAAACAAGCTTAAGCAAAGAGATTATTAACTCTTATGGTAAATGATTGGCCTTAGAAGTATGAGATAAAAGTCACATGATGAGAAAAAAATTGGAGGGAGATTGCTAAAATGATGTTTTGGTCTTCGAGATTATGGGAAATGGGAAGATGCAAGGTTAGAACAAGGTCGGTTTTCGGATCTATTTTGGATCGAGAGAAAATGTGTACATATAAATACAGATTAAGGTGTATGTCGAAATATGTCGTGTTGTGCGACACAATGAATGATCTAATTTTCCTTGTGATTTTTTTTGAAATAAATTGGACCCATCTTATATGATATGAAATCCTGGTTACCCCCTTGTTGGGGGATCATCATACATTCAACGCTATCCACAACTACAGGTGCCAGGGTATACCATAAGTGGAGTTGATATTCTCGTATTGGTTCAATGTTGTCATTGTCTTACTCGTATATATTGATTAGTGTCACACATATTGTCTATGAAGATCAACGCCGTTAGAGCTTATTCGATAACTACTAATTCTTTGGTTCATGACCTATTACCCTTATGGAAGAGTGAATCCACATCCATCCTTGATTTGATCAATACATGTTGTTCATTTCGTCCCTTTTAACTTCATTATTCTTGAATTTGTATGATTATTCAAGTGCAATTACACTTACGTTAACTTCGCGATTGATTCAGATTGTGGGCACATTTTAAAAGTTACAAACTGAAGAAAACATGAATTATAATTGGTCAGATTTTGACGTGCAATCTGGGTTTTCTTGCCGTTAATTAGTCAAAGTTAATTACCCTGTTAATCATCCTTGATTAGTGGCTCTCCATGTGGAGGTTCTGCCCGTAAGATCTACTATACCCATAAAATACCAAAAAAGGAAATACACCAAATCCATCTCGACATGCGTCTATCAATTGGCTGGTCCCCTCACTTACTTACAAATTACTAGAGTGTGTAAATACAAACGTAACACCTCGGGGGTAAAGAAAAGCTACAAACCTTGGATTCGAGATAAATGTCATAAACGGTTTGGTGTTAATATATCAAGTTATTTTGAAAAATGCTAACTAACAATTTTGTGCTTTTCTTTTACAAAAACTAGGTAAAATGTTGTTTAGGGTAGGGGTGGGCATTGGGTGGGTCGGGTGGATTTTGACCATAAAATGCACCCACCCGCGCTTAAACGGATTGATAATTTTTAACCCACCACCCACCCACATTTAGTCTCGGGTTGGGTCGGGCGGATGGTGGATGATGCGGGTGGGTTTGTGGGTTCACCCACATCACAATGTATATAATATATAAAGGAGTCAACTTGACATGATAATAGGTGAAGAGAATCATCGAGGGAAACAAGAAGTTGAAATAGGGCGAAAAATGTCGAATTAGTTCTTAAATTGGATAGAAATTCTATTATGAAAGAGTTTTCTACAGATTGAGACGATTATTAGGTGCAAGGAACTAAAGAAAATAATTCCACAAAGGAAAGAGCGGTGATCTAGGCGCAAGAATTAGAAGAAAAAGTATATGGAAGAAGAGGGGATCTCTATTTGGAAGGTTGGCTTTGAGGTTCAAACTCCAGGAGCAGTCCGAGTTTATATCTAACGTCTCCACTCTCCTCTCTCTAGCGCCAACGACTTTGATCTTTTTGCTGTTGGGTTGAGCGGGTCACCCGCACACTCACCCACAACCCACCCACCACCCGACGGATGGCTCTCAGCGCAACCCGTCACCCACCCACAGACTCACCCACTTAACGAAATTCGGGTCAAATGCGGGTGGATCGACCCAAACCCGCGGATGATCCGCCCGCATGCCCAGCCCTAGTTTAGGGTACAATTAAAGCATATGCACACAAGTGAGGACACACATGGGTTTTTCTTTATCCTACATACTAAGAGTACTCTCTATTATGTTTAATCGGAATAAGACGGTCGTATTACTCGTTAATTTTTAGCAAAAGAATTTCTCATTCCTTCCACATATACGATCATCAAGCTGACATTTCCCTCTTGACATATACGATCGTGAATTATCGTGAATCGTCATATCAGATAAATTTAACGTGGCATCCTCAACGAGAATCGTTGAGACTAATCCACGGAGAGGAACAACCTCTCGAAGTCAATCGTATTACGTAGCGCCGGAATTGCTTAAGGTTTACAGACGACATAATGAACATATATATAGCCGCCTACTAACCCTAAGCCTGCGAAAGATTGTAATTAACCTAACTAATGAGATGGTTAATTACAATATAATACCCAAACTTCTAACAGCCTCCCTCAAATTGATGAAACTTTCGCAACATCAATTTGTAAGCTAGAAACCAATGACGAGCAGTGGCCACAACCTTTGTCAACAAATCAACAGTCTGCTCTTCCGACGTAATGTACGATAACTCCACTTGTTAGAAGTTTGGGTATTAGATTGTAATTAGATGGTTAATTACAATCTAATACCCAAACTTCTAACAAAGAAAAGAGGCTTAGATGGTTAATTACAATCTAATACCCAAACTTCTAACAAAGAAAAGAGGCGAGCTCGAGCAAATTCATGTTCATGTCATGTGGTTGATGTCTTGATGAGATTCATATTCTTGTACCTCGAAAAAGGCAAAAAAATGAAATGTAAATAAAATAAAGGGTAGGGAAAAGGTTTGCTTGCGGCAGAAACAAAGGGGCAGTATGGACATGGTCAGTTTGTAAACAAACCGGGTCGGGCCCCACCCGATTGATCCATCCAAACCAAACAAAAAAAGGCTTATGGTTCGTTCCAAAAATAGGAGTGAACCCATGTTTTGCCCATCTTCACGGTTTCCGGGTTTGCGGGTCATTACATAATTCGGCAAGTGCAACGTTGCACACCCGAGCCCCACATTTCCTGAACCGGTACGGTTCATCACTGGTCGTGGTTAGGAGCAGAGAACAATTTTGATTCTGATTCGGTTCTAGCTCGATTCAATCCGGTTCCAAATCAAATTGATGGATGGCCACCTGATGGTAGTTAATTTTGGCATGTGTTAGGATTTTTGTGCTATTTTGTGTGTGTGGGAATTATTGTGCTATTTTATTTAATTGAAATATTGAATGCATGGGAGAACATTATTCTGTGAGGAACTATGTATTTGTTTGATTGGACACCATTGTGTAGGTTATTTGGAGGCCATCAAAACTACAACTAAATCAAGTTAAAGTTGTTTATGTTTAGAAAATTTCTTGGATTTTGTTCGAAATTTACACATTTTATTTTGTGAAAACTTAAGAGTTTCTTCGATGTATTGAAAAAGAGGTTAGAAACCTCTGAAAAACTGGTCGGTCTGGTGCTTTCGACTTTCGTTTGTGTTATGTCTTGTCTTGTCGTTTGTGACCTTTCTTTTTTTAATTCAATCTACGTCACCAATATAAAAAAATAGGTTAGAAACTATTACTAGCGATTAGGGGTGTGCAATGGTCCGGTCCGTACCGGACCACACCGGACCAAACCGTTGTTAAGATCGGACCGGACCAGACAGAGTAAAATGCGGTCCGATCCTTGGTCCTCATGAATTTTATAATTACTGAAGAAATGGTGGACCGAGCTCGTATTTTGACCTGACCGAACCGGACCAAATGCAAGAATGGTCCGGTCCTTGGTCCTAACATGTCTTTCACTAATGGACCGCGGTTCTCATGAGTTTGGTCCGGACCGAACCGAACCGTTGCACACCCCTACTAGCGATCAATGACAATATAAAAAATCTGAATGAGAAGTGGTAAAAAAAAGCTCAAGATATTCGAATTGTGGTAATTATGAGATGATGGATCAAACTACTATATTTTCTAAATTTTTGATTTAATGTAGTGGTGACAATTTCTGCCTGACCCGTTTTACCCAATCTGTTTGCCCTGTTTTGCGATTAGTTGGTAGTTAAACCCTTCAAAGTTCAATGTAATACCATCAAAGTCATTGACCAAACACCCCCTAGGGTCTGGACTCTGGACCGTCTCCCTCCCCCGCTGCTGTCTGCATCTGATTCCCCTCTGCTTCTTCCTCCCTCTCCTCTGCTTACCTCACTAGTTCACTTCCCATTAGCGACTCTCAGCAACAAAATCATTAATTTTCATTATCCCCTCTTTTCTTTATTTTTTTCCCTCCCTTTTCTCTTTTGTTTTATTCTATTTTCTTCACAAACTCCTTCTATTGTCCATTCTCTATTCTCTTCCCCTGTTTTGCTCCCTTTTTCCACCTTTGTAGACTCCCCTCTGCCTCTCTCTCTCTCTCCTTCCTCTTATCACCACACGAGTAACTCAGTAGAGAAGCCATTAACAGCGAAACAGAGAGAAAGGGAGGGGGCAAAAAGGAACAAAAAGACCAGGGAAATAGATTTAAAAAAAAAACAGAGGGATGATTCTCCATCGCCATACCTCGACCTCTACTTCTGGGTCTTCTTCCCTTCATCGTTAAACTTCACAGATTCAACTCCTCTCAAAATTTCCTACTCTGATTTCTTGGATCTGATTGAGAAAGTAGAGAAAGAAAAGAAAAGTCTGCAGCTTTTTTAAAAAAAACTTTTTTTATCCTTTTTTTTCTTCTTGCTTCCTCTGTTTCCGATGGAGCCAGATCTTCACCATCTTCACCACCAGCAGCAATCGAACCAGAAGCAAATGAATTCCGGCGGACTGACGAGGTACCAATCGGCTCCGAGCTCCTACTTCACCAGTTACCTGGAAAAAGAGCTCTGCGACGAGCTCTTAAATCGCCCTTCCAGCCCGGAAACAGAGAGGTTCTTCGCCAGATTTTTAGCCAACACCGCCAGCTCCGACGGGTTGCAGCCCGACCCGGTTCTCGCCCCGGTTAAGCAAGGCTCTCCCCCTTTACAACAAGGGCTGGATGATTACTCTTCCGGGTCGCGGAGCTTCTACCCGCCGCCGCCGCCAAGCAGCCAGTCCCGCCCACCATTGCCGTCGGCTCCGGCCATGGATTACAGCCGCTTGCCGCCGACTCCGCCACCACCAGCATCGAAATCTGGCGGTGGGAACAACTCATCGAATCTCGTCAGGCACAGCAGCTCCCCTGCTGGGCTTTTCTCCAATATCAACATTGAGTTCGAAAATGGTATCTTTCTTTGAGCATTCAATTCTTCTGTCTACCCTTTTTAGTACTCTCTCCCAAGGTTTCATCTTTGGTCTTATTTCTAAGAAAGGAAGGGTCTTTGGTATGTGGGGAGGGGAGAAATTTGTTTTGGAAGGGGCAAAAAGTTTGAGTCTTTGCTTGAATGTGTTGATTTTGTGGTGCCTGTTTATAGTAAAGTTTTTGAGGTTTTTCTGTTTGGTCTTTAATGAAATTGAAGGAAGCAGTCTATAATCAAGTAAGCAACTTGTTGGGTTCTTAAACTTCTTATAAATTGACACTTCCAAATATTGTCTCTCTTCCTAAGCTTATAATAAATTGACACTTCCAACTATTGTCTCTCTTCCTAAGCTTATAAACAATCATTTGAACTTAACCCAAGTGGGAGGCGAATTTTATTTGTTTGCATCTCTTCCTTACAACCCTTTTGAGGTACAAGATTGTACTATGTAACTAAGATGTTTTTCGCCACCAACTTATGAATTAATTAACCCCACTTGCAGAATTCCTCTGTTCCTTTCTTATTATTGGGCAAGTAAAGACACTCTTTTGATTTGCTGATACTTCTTTTCCTCATAGTACGAATCTGGACATCGAACCGGTGAGACTAACGATGTCGTGATTTGGTTGTGATTTTCGACGAATGCCAGGGTATGCTGTGATTCGAGGGATGGGAGATTTTGTTGGGAATAGGGAGTCATCAGGGAGGATGAGTCCCATAGCTGAGATTGATACAAAGGACAACATTGTTGAAGCCATTAACAGTACTAGAGCTGAGAGTTCGTCAGATTTCGGAGAGGCTCATCATCCTGGTAACTATGCTGGTTCTACTGCTGGGTTCCCCATGGGTTCTTGGGATGATTCTGGCATCATGAAAGGTGGGCTCTCTGAGGATGACAGAACTTTCTCTGGTCTCAACGATTCTCAGGTTGGTTCTTGGATAGAAAGCTGCTTCATTTTCCTTCTATTGGGTGTTTCCCACTTCAGTAAGGATTTCACATCAAGTTGATGCTACTAACGTGCATGCAACAACTTGGTGTGTTCCCCCACTAAGTTTTCGCTCTTAAGGCAACTCGAATCGACTACCTTCTCCGATATGCAATGTTGATGAGATTTACTGTCTTTTCTTATGTGGGAACAGGATGTGGAGGGAGGAGGGAACCGTCCACCAATGTTGGCACATCACTTGAGCCTGCCAAAGACGGCGGCAGAGATGTCGGCTCTGGAGAAGCTGCTGCATCTTCAAGATTCCGTGCCTTGCAAGATTCGAGCCAAGCGAGGTTTCGCCACTCATCCAAGAAGCATCGCTGAGAGGGTATGGAAACACCCCACCAGGCTTTCCAACAGATGAAACACAGTAGTGTCTCTTGTGTTTTCAGTACAAACTTCTCTGTAGTGTTAGAAGTCACCTTGTTGTTCCTTTCGTTTTAATGCATTCAATTTCTATTGGATCCATGACGATCATTTGGAAATTCGTGGGAAAACAGGTGAGAAGAACACGAATCAGCGAACGAATGAGGAAGTTGCAAGACTTGGTGCCAAACATGGACAAGGTAACCTAACATCCCCCTCATTGATATACCTCTCATTACTGTCGTAATACGAGAATTAGAGGTGACCAACGATTCGGTTTTTAGTTATGATGGATCATGTCAATGTCCTGCAATTATTTCTGACTTGTGTGTTCCCACATTATTGCAGCAAACCAACACGGCAGACATGCTAGATTTGGCCGTTGACTACATCAAAGATCTCCAAACACAAGTCAAGGTAAAAAGACATGATGTTCTCATCAGTTCCAACCTAACTAGGATATTCTTGGTATATTCCAATTCTTAGGCTTTCTGGGTTGTTTTCTACAGGTAATGGCAGATTCTCGAGCCAAATGTACGTGTACAAGTACAAGTATGCATCAATCATAGCAGAAAAAACCCCTAAACTGAAAGGGATCAGCTTCCATTTCCTGGCTAAGCCATATATATGTATACAAGTAATAAGAATAGTCTGCCTTCTACCCATGAAAAATTGAAAAAGAAAGGAGTTTGATGATAGAAAGAAGCAGATTATTAAAGCTATAGCAGGAGCTTTGGTATATTTATATCTGTTGTCAAAAAGGGGGAAATATTCAATGGCAGAAAATAGAAGATGAATAGGAGCTGTACAGTGATTAGCTTGGCCTGTTGTAGACTTGTTAGTGTTGTTGTGACATAATTATTATTATTATTATGATTTATGATTACTATTTTTTCCATTCCCACTTTGTTTTTGGGGTATTGCCTCCAGATTATGTGATTTTTGTAAGAATGTATAGGGCTAAGATTATGATGAAGATTAACAGAGTCGAATCGATCACCTCAAAATTATCGTATTCATGGTAGTACTGCTAGGTTAATAATCTTATGGTTCTGAGCTTCTGATTTAAAGGTTATGCTTTGGAACCTTTTGTGTACTTTCCAATTTTGTGTGGTGGGTAGGGAAAAAGGTCTGATCTTTCCACTATTTTGTGGCTTTTCTTTTTGGTGTTGATACAAGATAGGAAAAAGAATAGGAGTGTGAAAAGGGGGTAATGTGAAGCTTGAAAGGTTTGTGGATGGGGGGCTAACTTTTTTATTTAATTTTCTTTTGGTTTCAATACTAATTGAGAAATTGACTGGAGAGAAATTAGTGTCCACTACTTTATCAATTTAGTTGTCAACAATTGGTGATGAGTTGATACAGAAAGGAAATAATTCCAAGCATAAAAAGCTCTTTGGTTGGGAAGTTTGGTTTTGTCAATTATGTAATTTCAACTCGATTTGAAAAATTTCTGAATTCATCAGTTGTGATGATTTAAGAGAAAATAGGAATAGCTAGCACTCCATATAATACAAATGTTAGGTGGGTGTATCAATCATACAATCTAATTAGGAAACTTGAATAAAATATGTTTTCGAAATATATTTTTTGAGTCGTTGGACAACGATACTATCTCACAATTTATCAGAATCGACAATAAAATCGTTTTTCAAACTTGTATGTATCTACGTAGCTATACTGATATCAAGTCACGTGCACACCATAAAATGTAATATAGTATAAAAGATAAAAACTCTATAAACTCCGTCACCATCCTATTACTAATTCAATCTATCTTTGATTTACAAACTGACAATCATATTCCTCGCATAAACATTATCGAATGTGGAAAAGAATGTTGCGGCGTTGGGATGATAGGGTAGTACAGTCAGATAAATCACTAATTGATAGATCAACTTAAACGGAAAAATATAACAACAAACATTAATGAATAAAGTTCTCATATTTTGATAAAAAAAATACATAAACATCGTTAAAGGGAACACAACACAAATTTTAAACTGATTTGATGTTTACTTGAAGATTTATAGGATTTGAAAAACAATGAATGAGCTCCACAAGGTTTCCCCCCTTCTTCTTTGCCTCCTCCATCTATCACCTTAAGTAGGGTCGATGTCACAGAAATTTGTTAAGAGTATAATAAATCTTTCTATGCCAAATTAGGGCCTGATTTTTTGTCTTTTCCTCCTTCCTATCTCTCAAATAACACTCAATTCGTTTCCATAAAACTTGATGGAGAAAGGCAAGGCTATACGTTTAAGCCAAGCTAGCTAGCAATCTCCCAACTTTCTTATCTTCAACGTATGTTCTCCACTACATGTGTCCCCCTTTTTCCATTGCATTCTTCGAAGGTGTAGTGTAGTATTAGTTGTAGTAACAATCAATCAAGGGGTTTCACTCTTGATATGGTGTAGTCATGAGCTACAATATGCTTATCTTTCTTTGTTTCAATAATAAGAGCAATTAATTAAGGCGTGTTTACAGTAGCTTAACCAGGTTTTGAATTGATTTGGGCTCTTAAAATTTTCAAAACACTAAAGTCCATGTATTTAATGAAGTTTGAGCTGATTGGTGTCTTTCAATGAGCTAACATCGACAAGAGTATGAGATCCTAAATTCAAAATGGTTGAGAACGGCGATTGTCAAGTTCCCTCCCAACGTTCAAAACCTCCCTTCTTCTCCATCAATGGCTTTCCCTCTCAAAATTCAAACCCCACTCCACCAAAATTTGAATCTTTACACAATACACACACAAAACAACAAACCCACCACAACGCTCACCAGGAAAACGCTTTGCTAATCTCCATTTCCCAGTGAAGTAACAGAGTTCAGTCAGACGTCAGTCAAGGAGAGAATCAAGATCAAACCTTTCAAATAATGGAAAACGATTTCAATGCTCCTTCCATAACCAGCAGCAGCAGCCAAGAAAATCTTCAATAAAATCGAATCGAACCCAATTCCATTCCATTTCCAGTCCTTTCTCCTCCGGTTTCCTTACAATGGAAGAAGACCCCGCCGAGTTCTCCTCAGGCGGGCCTCCGCTGGTCTCCCTCTCCTTATTTCCTCCGGCCCGCCGCCGGCGCCGCCTCTCAACGTGCTGCTACAACTTCGCCCCCGTCGCCTCGTGTGGGACCATGGCGTGGCTGTCGCTCCAGGGACGGACTGTGAATGCGGAGGAAGCCAGCTCGTCGAAATCCATTGGTTTTTTGGGGAAGGAGGAGGAAGCCCTGGCGTGGGAGCTGTTCACGCCGATCCAGAGGTTTCTCATTGTGGCCGTGATCGGAGTCGCTGCTTCCGATTCGAGGAAGAATCGGACCATCTCGCAGCTTAACAAGTCTGTTGAGCTTAGGGTAAGTGAGCTTCATCGGTTACGATTTCTAGGGCTTTATGTTACGGCAGAATCGGAATCACTCACAATCGAATCACTGATTGTAGAAAGAACATCAATGTTCAATTTCATGGAGGGTTGATTCGTGGGGGGAAGATTTTCTGTGATTGCAGGATGAGTTGCTGTCGAGTATGCAGCAGAAGCTGGACAGTCTGTGTTTGCAAATGGCTAGGATAAACGTGCAAGGAAACAACAAGGATGATGAGGAAGAAGAATTTCTAAGCAGTATGGGTTTCGTCGATTGCGGCTGCTGGCATTGTGATCAACACCAGCAAGAGCTCTTTGGTGGTGGTACCATGGTGAGGAGAGGAGTTGTTTTTGCAAACTATGAATGACTGTGAGTTGCATTTTGCACCTGATTGTTTTCTGCTTTTGCGATGTTCAATGTGGGAAATTTTGGTTTCATTAGGGCCTGATGAAGGGTGCGAAAGCTTGTGGAGGGGATGAGGCGATGGAGTTGAAAAGGCAATTGTCGAAACAGGATGAGCAAGAAGAGCGACGAATGTCTGATTTGTCTGATTGGGCGTCCAGTTCTGCATCTGGATCAGAATTTCAGGTAAAAGTGGAATCAAGAATGCTCACAGTTTGGTTGAAAGTTTAAGACTTTACTTGAAATGGTTGTATCTTTTGTTGTCCTTTATTGAATCCATGGCGAGAAAGTTGTAGAATTCTAAAGAACTTTATTTGGGAAATCTGGTTATAAGAGCTGTATTTCATTGGAGTAAGTAGATTAGTGTTCTGTTTCTGAGCATCCATTATAGCAACAAGTCAATCATAAGTGATTGATGTTTCTGGTTATTGAATTGAGGTTTCTCCATTTTGCAGATCAGCAACTTTATGGTAGACCAAGATACTTGCAATCTCAAGAGGATATGTGAAGAGAAGGATGTAACCATCAAGGAGCTAACAGATGTTCTTCAGTTAACAGACAAAGCAGGTGCAAAGGTGATAGCTTTACTTACCCTTCTTCCCCCAATCATGACAAAACAAAACCCATTTCCCAGCTGATTCAGCTCCACCTGTTTTTCTTACCCTTATTAGAGAATATCAGAACTGGAAGACATCATATGTAGAAAGAACGCCATGATCACAAGACTCAAGAAGGACATAGTGGTACTAGAACAGAAGGTAGTAACTTATACTTTGATAAAGCTCAAGAAAGTTCTTAAGATTCCAACAAACATGGAAACATACACCAATGGTTGTAAAAAACTGAAAACCTTTTTGCCACAGGTGGTTCAGCTGACAAGGGTCCGCAGGAAATCAACCTCTCATTCCACCGCGGAGTTCGAGCAATCATCCCCTTTCATGGTGGACAACATAGTCTATGACATGGACAGCTTTACCAGCTCGTCTTCTTCTTCCTCTTCCTCGGATTCAGATTCTCCAACAACCCACCGTATCATTCCTCCTCCACAGACGACATGCCAGAAACCAGCTCCAGGAAGGGTTTCAACAAGCACTCCACCAGCCATGGCCAGATCAGTAAGCCCTCTCAGAGAACTGTCAATGAATCAGAAGTATGGCAGACCTGCTCCATCGAAGTCAAAGCAGTTGTCTGCTAATGGTGATATCAAGAAGATGAGGAGAAGAAGGCCACCACCTCAAGCTGCTTCCATTTCCATTCCGAAGAAGAGATGGTCCTAATTGGTAAACACTATGGTTGTGTTGTTCTAGTTGAAGTAGATTCAGCTCAGTGAAAACATTTGAGTTGATGTCAGTTAATAATCCATTGGCAATATCATAACTGTTACTACTGATCTTAATGAAGTGTTTTGGAGTAGCGGCTGGTATGAATTTCCATTTACCTCCCCTTTGACTGATGGCGACTCCCTGGTCTATCGGTCATCCAAGGGTCCAACGACGACGTTTTTGGTACCGCCGTGTAGACTCCCAACAACATTGGCCGCTGCTTCTGTGTATGGCGGCATTCCCTTTGGGTTGTTTTAGTCAACCGTACCATAGATTATTAGCCCCAATGTTTGAATATTCTAATTGAATGTTGCATTTTAACCTAATTAATTGCTTGAAGAGTTTGGCTGTGTATTACGATGTATACACTTTGTATTATCCCATTTGAAAATTGATTGATCGTGTTACATCAACATCATCAGTGAGATGGGGATAGAGGGGAATGTATAAGAAATACTACGGGTAATTTTGGTGAAAGGTTTTGCTCTAGCTACATTGATTTATTAGATAGTTTTTCCGAATTTATATTTGTGTTGTCTAATATCACTAGTTAATACTCAAGTATGATTGTGTGATCGTATCCATAACCTAATATGTGAGATATTTAACAATAAAGTTATTTTTGTGCTTTATTGGCTAAGTCTAGAATCTAGATGCCTCATTGCTCACCAACAAAGTATAATTCATGTTTGTGGAGTTAGGACCAAAGTATATGTGGGTTTTCTATTCTACGAGGAGAAGCTTCTTCCTTTTTTTTTCTCTTCAACATTTATGGAGACTTCTTAATAGGGTAAATGACACATTTGGTCACTGAGATTACTAAATCGTGTCATATTTAGTCACTAGAAAAATTTAATATCAATTTTGGTCACTCGAATTACTGACACAGATCACATTTGGTCACTCTTCTGTAGCCTCTGTCCAACTCCGGTCACTCGAATTATTGAAAAATGTCACATTTAGTCACTCGTATTACTGAAACATGTCACATTTAGTCACTCTCCCAAAAGTTTCCGTACAACTACATTAATGGAGTTGGACGGAAATTTGACGGGAGAGTAACTAAATTTGACCAGTTTCGGTAATTCGAGTGACCAAAATTGATATTAATTTTTTCTAGTGACTAAACATGACACAATTTAATAATCTCAGTGACCAAATGTGTCATTTACCCCTTCTTAATAATCTCTAGCCATTTTATATTCATTCCCTTACCCAATTTGTATTACTTTTCTAGTATGATGACTATTGACTCGTATATTCTGACGACCTCCTAAAACCTTTCATTAGATTCATTTTCTTTGTTCGTAATCTGACGAAAGATACCCTTGAACTACCTATTCAGAGCATTCATATTCCCCGTTCCTACATATTCTCCCCCAATTCCCAAACTCAATCTTCATTGCAAATCTACCGGCGGAATTCCCCTGTCAAACCCAATTCCGGTTTCCACCAACGAAAAACTCTCTCTCTCTCTCTAGAAAACCAAAACTCCGATCTCCTCTCAGTTCCATTTTATTCCTTCTGAAACCCAAAAACCCAATCTTTTCCAATTTCCCAGCTGAATTCCAAGTGGGTTTTCGGTTATTCTCGTTTCAGATGTTCTGAGCTGAGTTACAATTTTTTTTTTTAGTTTCGCCGCCGGGAAATGACCATGGACCGATCGGGCAATTCGTCGCCGGGAAGCCCCGACCCGAAATCCTCCTCCTCCTCCGGTTTCGTCCTCTCAATCGACTGCCTCAAGGGCGGCTCCAAGGCCGACGAGTGGACCGGCGACCTCCTCCAGACGGGCGACATCGTGGAGGAGATCGTGATTCCCGATCCCGGGTCGTCGTCGCGCGGCGGCGCCGGCGGGCAGTCGTACCGGGCTCCGTTCAAGAACGGGAAGAGCGGGGTCCAGAAGATTCTTCACGCGTCGTTCAAGCGGAAGGAGACCTCGATTCTGGTCCGGGTCAGGCGGCGGGGCGGGAGCGAGGTCTCGGAGCTCCAGGCGTGTATTGTTCCCGATTCCGGCGGGAAGAAGCAGTACATATTGAGGTCCATCGACGACCCGAATTACACCGCCGGGTTCTGCGACCGAACCGAGTCCGAGTGCTATGAATTGCAAGGTCAGTGAGTTGTTGTTGAGCTGGCATTGACTTTTCATTTTTCTCTTGTTTTTTGTTTTACTTGCTATGGTTTGACCGAGTTTTAACTTTTAACAATAGGAAATGGGTTAATATCTTATTATGTCTCGAACTATATTCAAGTAATTAAATTTGGTATGTGGTTTTAGAGATTGTTCTTCTTGCCTCAATTATATATCATGTAGAATAATATGACTCGACTCGGATAATATCTTAGGCAAATCAAATCTTTTTTTTGAAAGAAGAGGAATTAGAATTGGATGATTGTAGACAAAATCAGTCGAGTTCTATTATAAGTGCTACATGACGTTAATATAATGATTTGAAATGTATCAACAATTGAACAAGAAACGATATCGCGTGAACTAGAAACATTGACCTAAAATTGATTGTCTTCCACAATCATCATTGTCCCTTTGGCCATTTGCCCACTTTTAAGGATAGCAAATCCTGCAATCTTTGACAAAATTGCCTTTGAATGAAAGCTAATCATCACAAAAGCCATTCTTCTGGAATTTAGTGTAATCACCTTCTAGAAAATGACTTTTCCTCCCATTCCTTATCTAACCTATCCCCACTAACAATATTCCTAAAGTGATGCTGACTTGTTTTGTGCCTAATGGAGTAGCTAGTTTGCCTTCATCATGTTGAACTTTTGAACCCTTTTTTCTTAGTCCTAAAAGGGTTGTTCATTCCGGCTGCTCTTTGCCCTTCTTCTCGTGTTCATATGCAAAAGCCAACCTAAAACTTTCCATGTTGGTTACCCACTACTACAAGTCACAATATGGCCCTTTGGGTCCAATATTGTCTTGGCAATGTTGTTTCATCACATTGATTATGTCACATAAGTTGTCAGATCTTAGCCAGACATAAGTTGTTAGAACTTTACATGAAATCTTGAGAAGTAAAGTTTTGATTTTTACTTTTTGCTATCTTTTGAATGAGCATCATTACTATTTACTAGTAGTAGATGGTTGAGAAGCTAATTGACTTATCTTTGTGAATGTGTTTGATTCTACATTGGCAAAATGAAGGTTCAAAAGGGTCGAGGATGGTGAGCGCACTGTCGAGCTCCAAGCTACAGGATGGATACGTATCTTATCCATGGAGGAGGAAGATGCAGGAGGTTCTGAAGGTTCCGAATTCGAGCTGTTTCCTTTCCATACTCTTCCTCCCCGAAGCTTCGGATCGAGCTGCTTCGGGTTACAACGACATCGAGCACACCCTTGCCAGAGCAAATGCGTGGCTCTTTGCCTCGCAGGCTTCTGGCGTCCCCATTGTCTTCATGAACATTCAGACAGAGTCCCTCCTCACCAAGGTAAATATGTTCACTAAACATCAGCAAACTCTGTTTTCAAAAACAGAGTCCCTAAACAACAGCAACTCTGTTTTTATGGCAGATATCTGGTGAGACAGCCTCTTCAACAGTGAGTGCAGGCTCGCTCTCCGACCTATCCAACCTCGCGAATGCGAGCTTGTACGGCTTCGAGGACTACCACGGCGTGGACATAGGCGTGGTGAGAGCCGTTCGGCTGTGGTACGCTCCGTTGTGCGGAGAGTTCTCCATCGAGATCAAGATCAGGGAAGACGATTCCAGGCTCGGGTTCGCCATAAGTCGAACCGAAGAAGGGTTCATCTACATTTCCTCGGTGATCGACGACGGGGATGAAAATGCAGCCTCGACGAGGTCAGGGCTCAACAATCTCTACAAGCAAGCAACCTCCTCATCCAAGTTGCTCGTTGTCTCCAGGGTTTCCAACCAGAAGGTGCTCCCTTGGATGGTTTCCTCCACGGGAGCGATTCGATGCTACGACACCGTCTCGTTGAGCCAGAAGCTCTCCCTTCATCGCCACGCCAAGGTTCCCATCGTGATACATTACTTCCTGTGGGACAAGGCGTTGGCCGGTATGGGTCCTGGAAGTGCAAGGTATGGTGGTAGGCCTGTTGGGATCCCGCCGCGGCGGTCTGATCCTGTCCCTGTTCGAACAGATGTCGTGCAGTCGCCCCCTCCTGCTCGACATTCGAACGAGAACCAAGTGCTCCCGCTTCCTCTGCCTCGATCGTCTCAGGTGGTTCCTAGTAATGATGGTGATGGTAGTGTTGTAGGGCCGGAAATCAAGCTTGAGAGAGACACCGCCGGTGAACTCTCTTTCAGGTTTCATGAGTTCTCCATCTCTAACAATTGGGTGTGATTTATGTAATGAAAACTTTCTTTTTGGTACAGCTTGGTATGTTTACAGAGAGGTGTTTTTGTATGTATACACTGATAGATAACATTTTTGTAATGCATATTTATAGTTGAATAATTCTATGATAATTTTAATTTAATATGCAATACATTGTTTCACTAATCATTTTGGAAATATGCTCCTTTCCCACTCTGTTTTGTTATTGCTTGCTTCATACGCAAAAACTAACAACTACCTTCCAAAATGTATGCAACCATCGTTTTTCTCAACTGCGGAAGTGAAAGTAGACAGTGTATGATTCATCCCTAAAGCTCAGCAGTGGTGAAAGAATGAAACCTCTGTTCTCCCCCTTAGCAACAAAGCTAATGGGGTGGTACTGTGACAGCCCTCGATTCGCTGAAAAGCTTGCTCCTTCATCGAATTCATCATCACCACCAGCGCCTGAGCTAGTCCTGCAGCTGAGCTTTACCTTTGCTCCTGGCTTGTAATCCAAGCCACTGAACACAAAGCAGCCCTTCTGACTAACAGACTCGAGAGACACGCTTCCTTCCTTCCCATCCAGTCCTGATACGACGAGGAATTCAGACGACCCATCTGAAGGAACTGAGTTTCTGACCATCATCACTTCATCTTTTCCTTGCTGCATTAGCACCATCCCTGGGAGGTGGAATGGCTCCAACATGACTTGTTCACCAATGAGATCTTCAAGTGATGTTGATAGCTTGTGGCTGTTGTTGTTGTTCCTTGAGACGAGTCTGAATGTGGAGTGGACCGAAGCATCGGTGCCAGGGTTGGAGAGCTTCTCCATTGTGACCGAGGATTCGTTTGTGTTCGTCACGACGAATGTGGAACCTCCAGATTCTTGGGAGAGGGTGAGGAGGTGGGAATTGTGTGTAGAAGGAACTGGAGTGATGGATTCAGGAAGGCTCGATCCGAGTTTGAGGTTCCAGTCACCATTGCTGTAGCCAGCAAGTAGGTATGGGCCATAGAGGATTGCCATTATGGAAGCATACTCAGACCTGTCATCTAAGCACATCAACGAATTTTGACACAGTCAAATTAGCTTCATTTTGATTTTGAGAATCTGCATCAAATATACGTATATCAAGTTATTCATTTGAAGATACCATTGATAGCTTCAGTTCTCAAACTCATAGGCAGCTTTAGTGTCAATTTGTCACTGCTGCTCCAATTTCTTGTCACGGACAGGAAATTTCCTGTATCGAAAGTAGCCAATGCTGATTAAAAATTTGCTTCAATGAGCCATGGGGAAGTTTCTTATGTGATTATCAGGAATCAGCTGAATTATTGAAACCTGGAGCAGGTAGAGGCAAACTTCCAGCATTTAAAGCCGCCTCAGCACCATTTGCATTTGTCCAATTTGGTATCCGCAGATTCAAAGTAGATGACTTACCAGACCCCTGCATCATTCAAAGCAGATGGAAATAATCATGCTAACTAGTTACTTGGACCATAAAGTGGTTTGCATTCATCTGCGGTCAAGTAAGCAACTCAAAAGAGTAGTTCAGTGAGTGTAGCTAATCCTAGGTTACCTCTTTCGGAGAAACTGTCAATGCCACTCGCAGAAAAGGCTGCCACGAGACAACAGGATCCACCTTCTGACTGAGAAAGATCTGTCCAGATTCCCAGTCGAAGGTGCTTGATATGTATTGGATGATGTAAAGTCCTGGTGCATTTCCTTCCTCTTCAAAGTATATCGAATCCCCCAGCTTAGAGAAGGACTCCACTCCTGGCAAGGAAGCATAGAGCAGAAGTTATCACTTGCCTCGGTGGCTAGTACTGCTGAGGAAGTTCCGTCATGAAACAAGTGTCACAGTTGACTCATGACAGTACTAACCTGTTCCATAACAACACCAGAAGGACTGAAACGGTGTTCCCCATCCATGGTAGCTTCTACCCTTAGAGCTTCCAGGACCCTGTGGTAGCATGTAGATCATCACTCCAGGTTCTGTTCCTCTCTGGATCCCCAGGACACCGTTGGTAATGGCACGCTCGTAGTAGTCTGCATACGCCACTTCTTTTGTCCATCTGAAGAGGTGACGTGAGACCTGCTCAATCGAAAACGAATGATTCATCTAATGCAGAAATGTGTCTCTGTGTGTGTCCTAAACAGCTTTTGTGCAAAATAAGATGAAAGGAACGATGATTACTTTCAGCATGTTGTAAGTAGTGCATGATTCTTCATTCTCTGTCTGCAGTGTACCAGCCAACCTCTTTGGATCAGACCTAGTGATACGTTCAACAGCCAAGGATCAAATACCGGACAGGATCAGAAACAACCGAATGCGTATGAATACAACTGAAAGGGTAGTTGTCATTATGTACCAGAATTCACCCACTGATGTCCCTCCAGTTGCATAGCTGTGAGAAGAGTTGACAATCTCCATGAAGTATGTCCCAATTTCCTGGCACATCGAATCAGATTGAAAGAAGGAAAAAAAACCATCAAACAAACACCAAGCAATTCAATCAAATACTTAAACATTCGCAGTTTCATCATGTACTGAAAAGTTGTTTGAAGGATCATTCTCATAAGAAGCTACAACTACAACATTTGTTCAATGCCATCCAATGCATCACCAATATGCTACATTGCTCAGTGAGAATCATATGGGACAACCGAACAAGCAATTGATCACCTTATAAAGTGTATCACCAGTGAGTTCGTAGCGCATTTGTGCTCCGATAACTATTGGGATATGAGTATTTGCATGAAAACCAGATATGTCATCAGCCTGAAACGAAAAGAGAAAACTCATGCTCTATAAGCTCAATATACTTTTCAGACTCTTCTTGTCTATAATGTAAAGCAATAACTACAAAATGAAAAAAGGAAAAGGGAAAACAACCTGGATTGCAAGCAGGCCAAGGAAGCATGGCTTGTCAAAAAGGTGAGCCAGCAACAAATGCTTGGGATTTCCCTACATAAACGAAAACAAAGAGGCATATACTGAGAGACCAGCAAGTCACACTGTAAAAGTATGCAGTTCAGCAACTGTGACCTTAGCAAGCTGTAGCAGATGTTTAATAAGAGCATTACAGCAATAAGATCAAAAGAGAGAATCATCAGCACAATCCATCATTTTAATATTACCGTTACGCTGTACAATTTGTAGAGGATATCATTCATCCCTCCAGTTTCTTCATTCAGAGACCGAAAATGTCTCTCAATTGTATACTTGGTTATAACATTCTGGACACGGCCATAGAAGTAATCAGCCATCCATGTTACCATCTTGAGAGCTTGAGCATTGTTGGCAAACATGTACTGATCAAAAAGACCTGCCATGATCTGGAAAACCCAGGATTTGGATCAATCAAATGACCTTGAGAGTAGTAAAATTCACTTCCCATGTGGGTAAGCAGCCATGGAACAAGGAATCGTTACCTTGTGAATGGTGTAATAAGGAGCCCAAACAGGCTGCACAGCCTCAAATCGATCGAAGAACTCCGAGGGGAAAGCAGATAAGTATCCTGAACCGATTTTGTCTTGACATTTAGATAGAGCTGACACGACTGCCGACATTTTCTCTTTGAGAGTTTCATTGTGCGTACTGGCATACATCATCGCAGCAGCACTCATGTAGTGCCCTGAAACACAAATGAAATACAACAGTTCACTTATCAGCTATCAACTTATACTAGTGTTTCAAATTTCAAGGTTGTGCTTCCTTTGACTAGCTTTTAAGCTACTCATTTGAGTAAATTATCTGAAACAAACACCTCATAAAACATTATGAAAACCATTTCAAGCCAATAAGGAGGTACAAGCCCTCTCTCTTCAAGCTTAAACCAATAAGTTATAGTAACCATTAAAGTTCAAACATAAAGCTTATACTCAGTACATCTCATCAGCCTAATTCTTATTGTAAATGACTCAAATTGTAACAAACTCATCAATTTGTGACAAAGAAAAAGGGGTAATACTAAGATGTGTTATATCATATGTTGTACTTCAACTAACTACTAACAATGGCTAACATTTAAACACCAAACATATGCTCCCATATCATCTCAATACCTCCAAGCTTCTTGGAAAAGACGCGATTTGCTACATTCGAGGGATCAAAGCAAGAACTATACTCCCATAACATGTTGGAAATGAATCAAATGGCCACATTCGAACTCATGAACCGTGACCATGAAAAAGGGGGAAACAGAACTAACCAACAAAATGGCCTCTGAGCTCCACATCAGCAGCTTCCCAACCACCATAAGGAGTCCCAGGAGTGGCAAAACCAGCATTCTTCCTGAAGCTCCAAACCAAATTGTCAACATCCAGCATCAACAAGTACTCCAAATTCGTCTGTTGAGCCCTCCCGTACAAGGAACTAGGATCCAGCCTCACATTATGCAAGGATACTTCCTTCAGGAATCTCCCAGCCGAAGAAGACTGAACATTCTTCTTCATTTTCCTGTACTCCATCGCCCAATTGAACTCTTCCTCCTCCCTCAAAACCTTCCTCGGAAGCAAACTGGCCCAGGCCGAATCATCAGTGGGTATCAAGTGATCATCGTCGTGGTAATGGGCAAACATCTCCGACTTCCACGTGTCGTTATCTGACGACAAAAGTCCATATCGGAACGTGTGGGAAGAAAGCTGCGTTGGAGTGTTAGTACACTCTTTGCCCTCGGAGCAAGATGTAAACAAGAACAGGAAGAACAAGGTAAAGGCTCTTGCTTTAGCATTACCCAGCACCATATTTTCTGATTTGACAAAGAACCCAGAAAGGGTGGAAGCTCTCAACCCGTATAATATAGGTCGCGGAAAGCTATGAAAGCATCGAAGCTGAGGCAAAGGCGCAAACTTTTTCACAAATCCTCAGTACCCAGATGAGGGGAAAAAAAACAGCCTTGGGAAGTCCAGAGGACGAAGAGCAATGGGGCCCTTGAACAGAATGGCGTCTTTTCTTATTATTTATCTGTACAGAAGGAATTTGGGGAGAGGAAGCAAAAGGGGATTATGGGTCCGTGAGAAAGGCAAGAGCTTGTTGGTTTCTTCTTCTGTTCGTTTAGCAGCTAGCAAGCTGGAAATCAACTGGAGAAAGGAAGGATTGGCAGAATGCTAAACTTAATTACCAGACAAGAATTCTGGGACGAGAAATGGAGGAGATGGATTGGATGGTGGCCTGATAAAGCCAGGGGAGCGTCACGGGTACGCCGTCGTTTTCCTTATGGCGGGAGAGGATGTGGTAGACAGTAGACACTAGACTGGTGCTGCTAGGGGGAATTGTGCTTAACAGGCAAGGCAAGCAAGAAAAAATAAATCAAGAGGTGTGACTGTCAGTCAGTGAGTGGATTTTCTTTCACTTGACAAAAGTAGAGAGAGAGAGAGAGAGGATTTCTGGTTCAGCCACAATCTTCTTTATTAATTTCTTAAGTCCATGTTCTGATCTTTTGCTTAACTAGATCATTGAATTATTTGATCAATTGCTTAAGCAAATGATACCCATAAATGGTGAAGATCTCAAATAATTGTTAAGGTAAAAAGAAGAATTAAACAAACTGTGAAAGTAATGGAAAAGTCATTACTTGACTTCATCTTCTTTTGCTCAATTTCTTTATTTATTTCGGTTGTCTATCTAGTAGCTTCTAAGGCATTTTCATCAACAATTCAATTATTTGTCGACTGCCACGTTTGGTTATTAAGTCTCTCATAATATATAATCCAAACTTTATGAATGAGAAAAAAAAAGGAAAAGTCATTACTAATCGTTGAAGGATGAAAAGCCAGTCGGGGAAGATAAGAGATTATAGTTAGACAGACCCCCTAATTTCCTGTTAACCATACTCATGAATTGTTTGGATTGGGTATATCAACGATACATTTGGAATAAAATGTCATAAAATTCGGCTAATTGTGATTTAGGAAGGGGAAATGAGAGTTTTTAGTTCATAATGTCACTTTTGAATCATTTTAAAATACCTAATCTTTTTGTAGAAAGAAATACTTATTCGCAAATATCTCATTCTCAAAATGCTCCACCCAAATGATTCGTCAGCTTATTTTATTATTAGGATCATCATCTTCGTGATTTGTCAAATGTTTATGACTGAATATAACGTATATCTTCTATTCGACAGTTCTAACTCCCCATCTTAAAGGAAAAACAATCGAAGACTAAGAACTTTGCAGGTAGCTCTCAAGTATTGAAACAAATATCACAATAAATTAAAGAAATGAATATTGACTGCATATGTTTTGGATAACAAGCATCGAATACATGACACCATCAAAGTCCCTACCAAGCAACAAATCCACATCATTTACGATCAATTCACAAGAAGCTAAGACAAGCCATGACGTTATGTTGGGATAGGGAAACAAAAGCATATGCATATGTTTGAAGTATTATCTTGGAGGGATCGAAGTGGTTATGTGATGCACAAGTAAACTGAATATGGTTTTCTGTTTTCCAAGTGATCTCACAACATCAAACACACTTTTGCTATCCTCATGGGGAGGCCTAACCAATTACACATTTGCCCATTGTCTTTTGAGAGTTTTGGGAGCAAAATGGAAAACCAATTCCAAATGGGTGAGAGTAGCCTAGACTAACTATGCATATGTGGCAACACAAAATTGAGAGGAAAAGAAACCAACGATATTAATTTGGTTAGGGCTAAGATGAAACATTTTACTGAGTTAAAAGCAGTCTCCTCTTCAGTCTTTAGTGAACTAAACGACACATCATCAGTTCTCATTTGAGTCGACTGCAAATATAAGAGGATTTTGCTTGATGATCAACTACTTTGTCGCTTGTCGAGGGAATTACGACTGTTGCTACTACTTTTTGATGAATAATCACCTGTCTACAAGTACCCGAGAAACTGAGATTAATAGCGACATCTAATCTGATAATATACTCAATTGATTAACACAAAGATGGCCATGTTATTTGTTCAATATGCAACTTTGAGATGATTGACACATAATTTTTTTTTCTTTAGCCATGAAGTTTTTATTTGTTGGCAGAAATTAAAGAGCACATGTACCTCTTAATAAAAAAAGTGACATTGAAAGATAAAATATGCTCCTTTATCAAGCAACTTGGAATCCTCATAAACAAATGCAAGATTGGAATTGGAATGGTCCAACAATTACTACTACACCACACTTATAGGCTTGAAAGATGTCCATCGCCATTAATTAAGTGACAACAATGTGCACCAACCCAAAATTTTTGTTCCCTCCTAAAACAAATCTTATCCTTTTGGCTTGGCACTTGCACATTTACCCCCTTCAAAAGATGTTCTCCAAAAATCAGCACATAAGTGGCAAGTAAGCTAGAAAATCAATCAATTCTCTATACCACACATTCAAACTTGTAAGAAACGTAGAGAGATAGATTATACACTAGATGTGCATTCGTTACCCAAGTATTAGAGATCACGCATAAAGATAATACGATATTAAAACTTTCATTCTACATTACTAACTTGTCAGTAATGGGCTTGAGACCTATTATGCGGGACATTGATATCGGCCCATAGAAATATGCGCAGGTTAAACATGGTCGGCCCAACCCATTATGCCACATATTGGCCCACAATATCAAAGCAACAGAACTTTTTGGCGGTAAAACAGAAATTATAGTTGGAGTAGGAAGCGGCAAAATTGCAGCCGTCGATTCAAAAGGGTTTAGGGTTTCTCTGGTTCATCGATTGCGGTTCGCTGTCGTTCCCAATTCGCTTGCTCTTCCTTCCATGGCGACCGGAAACTGCACGACGAGTCGGAAGAAACGACTAACCGCAGCAGCCGATGGGCATCGTCTCCCTTGCGCCAGGAGAGTACTACGCAGCAGGTCAAAAGCAAACCCTCGTATTCCAATCAGCGATCTTGGGGACGATCTCCTGGTGGGAATTCTGAGCCGCCTCCCCAACGCTAGATCCGTCTTCCGGTGCAAATCCGTCTGCAAACGGTGGGACTCACTGATCTCCGATCCCAATTTCCGTCTCCATTTCGTTTCTCACCACCGGAACGAAGGGGACGACGACGACAGAGAACCAGCTCTGCTGCCAACAGATAAGCCCGAAGCCATCCTGAGCTTTCTCCCCGTGCCTGATGAAATTCGAAAGCATTTCATTGTTGTGGATTCTTTCAATGATATGGTTTTATGTGGGTTTCGCTGGGCGAAGGAGGATGAAAGTAGTTATCCCGAATTGGGGAGGTTGTTCTTCGTCTGTAATCCGTTTACAAGGCAATGGGTCGCCCTCCCTTTAGCGCCTGAAAGGTCAGATCCTTGTCTTGTGTCGACGGAAAGCTTGGTTTGTGAGCCTCGTAGTAATACTACTCATAATAGTAATGGCCAAGTAATTAGTATCGATTCCGAGTATCGGTTCCGTGTGGTGCATCTTTGTGGAACGGCTCAAGCTCCTAAAATAGACGTGTTCTGTTCGGAGTCTGGGGAATGGATGACTGACGTTATTGATATGGATCGTAATTTAAGATTCATTCCAGGGCGTCTGATGTCGTGCTGCAATGGCAAGTTGTGTTGGCTGGCTGTTGACATGATTCGTGTTGCTATGTGGGATCCTTTCCGCCCACATATACCTCCAACTTCTATTTGGAGTCCCTGCTTGGCTGGCAGAGTCGGAGCCCAAGTTTGGGCTTCACATGGTGATTTGCACAAGATTGAGGTTTACCCTGATGTTCTACCAGGTCTTCCATGGAGTGTTTTGTGTGTTTATAGATTGACAGAAGAAGGCATTGGCACTGCTGATGGAAAATGTCGCGAACTATATAAAGCGTCTTGGATGGATTTACTAAGATCTGTCCGTGAAGAATATGGAGACATGGAGCTGCACAATGTACTTGCTCTGCACCCGAGTAAGCCGGAAATTGTCTTCTTGGAATTGTCTAGTCCTCTTGCTTATGGACGTCTTATCTTCTCCTGCAATTTGAGGACAATGGAACTGAAGTTTGTAGCTGATCAAGTACCTAGTATTCGCTGGAAGGTGTTGCAGCCTAGGTTCACTTGCTGGCCTACCCCAATTCCTAGCTATGAGAAACTGCGAGGTATGTACGATGGAACCTACAGTTGTTTGGTTCAGAGCTGCAGCAAGGAATCACCAACTCCCCTAATAAATGGTAACTTTACTCTCTTACCTTCCCCTTTCTTGCCTGCGCTTTCTTTCGATCTCGAATGCACTAAACTGAACTTGAATGTAGTATTTGTAGCGGTGACACGATGCAAAGAGACGTTTGTCTGTGCTCTCTAATCTTTAACTATTACCTCTCTTCTTATTTATGCTGTGGTTGGTTGAATTGTTGTTCCAGAAACAGAACGCAAAGCAGTTGAGGGAGTCGAACGAATTGGTCGACCGAGGAAGAGCAGCAGATCAACATCACTGTCCAAGTGCCCGGTTAATAAGAAGCAGAACGTGGTGAAAGTCTGTTGTTGGGAGGACGCCACTAAAAGAAAATTGCAGATGAATGGAAGGAAAAGCAGTGATGATCAATTGTCAAATGCTGTTCATGCGCTCCAGGACACACCAGGCATAGATGATGAACTGTTCCTGGATGCGTGTGATCTATTCGAAGAATCACGCCGGAGTGCGCAACTGTTCTTAGCATTGGACGGTAGAATGCGAAAGAAGTGGCTGCTGAGAAAACTATGTCGAGAGGAGTCTGTATAAATTTGCATTCATTTCCCATGTATTATTGCTGGTTGCCATGGTTTTACTTTTAGGTACAATGCGGCTTGTTTATGTGCTTACCTATTGATGAGTGGAGAAATTAATCTTCATTTTTAGAACTTGTGCAGTTGATAGTTATTTTGAGATGGTCTCTATATCAAGGTTCAAGAAAGCGCTAGGCATAAGGCGAGCGTTGAGGCTCTGCCTTGTGCCTAGCACGCTTAGGCGTTGCCTAGGCGCGCTTAAGCGTTAGGGGTAAACATAGCAAAATATTTCATACTTATCTAGAATCACAAGTTTATAAGCCAATATCATCGCATCTACCTTTCATTTCTAAACTTTCATTAATAACACATGGTAAAACATAAAACATGAGAAATGAGTAAGAAAGAAGAAGTTGGAAAGTAGAGAAACACATTGATAGTGAAGAAGCGCAAAAAGAAAGAAGAAGATACTCTTAAATGTTGCCTCTAACTATATCTTAGTTAATTATAGAGAAATCAAGATCGATCTCACTAGTAGCATATCAAAAAGTAGAAAAAGACACAATGGCATCATTTTGAAGCGCAACTCAATGTTGACTAGGCGCCACTAAGGCCACAAAATGATCGTGACGCCTTCTTTGCTACTTTTTGCCAAGGCGAGGCGTTTTCCTTCTGACTTGCGCTAGGCGAGATTAAGCAAGTGCCTAGGCGTGCCTTTTAGAACCATGCTCTATATTATAAGCCATCCACCAAACCAGCACCCTGAAATGGTTATTCTTAATATTTGAACATAGTTGCATTTTACTAACTTCCATTCCAGGCTTCTTGCTCGAGGAACTTGAGAAACCTGAGCATGCCTGGAACCCGAATTCCGGGATGGTTTTCTGGAGAAGATCCTTCACAGAGCGGCAGAGGAACTGCCGCGAAATCAAAGCTATTGCTCTGTGTGTTGTTGTGGTGTCTGTCTCTGGACAGTTGAAGGGTAATTGATACAAAAATGTTTGAGACACAAAAATTTAGACTCACATCGTGAAAGTCTATATGTAACTGTGGAGTTTTATATCATTGTCTTGCAATCAAATAACAACAAAATGTTAACTTCTGAGATTAGAACATGCATGAAAAGTTTTAGGCTTCGAAAATCAATGTTTCCGTACGGTTCTCCTCATCAATGGCGGCAGCAGCACCAACTCCAAGGCTATCCATTCTGAACCTTACGCTTATTCACTCGCATAAAATTAAGAGCTAACCACTTGTCCCCTTTAATCACAGCAGAACCAGCTGCAGAGAGAAAGACAATCAATCATCGTAATCTTGGTGAGACTAGTCCCCACATCATAAGGCAGGGTTTCAAAACCAAACTTTTACGGCTATGATAAGTAACATAACTTAATCAAATTATTATTATATAATAATAATAATACTCGTAGTATAATATAATACATAATGTTCGTAATACCACACCATATATACTTACCATGCTTACTGCAAGGATCCACATTGCCATCAGGTTTTATGTTCCAGAAAACCAATGCATCGCCCATCTTAGGCTTCACCGAAAGCCCTAATCTCTTTCTCTTCTTCTCGCTGCTGCTACTGTAATCGATTGGTTTAGCAAAAGGGAAAACTGTCTCACCACCTTCTTCAACATCCGACCTGTAAAATGCATGGCGTGTGTGTCAAGAGCCGATTGGTCCCAATAACTCGAGTTGTTGGGAGAGATATTGAGTTACGAATCGCATACAACTTACTAACAGAAGGATCGCGAAAAGCATTAGTGAAACTTAAAGACCCGCGATCGCGCGCGAACGATTGATCTCACTTACAGGTACATAAGAATAGAAGCTGCGCGTGCTCCCCCAGTCTTGGTGTAGTAATCGTGCGGGCCGGTGTAGTCAAAGTGGGGCTCGAGTTTCTGCCCGACTTCATAGTGAACGACATTAAGATGTTCCCCGTTCTCTGCACATATTGGTAGATTCCATAAGATCGACCAAGAAGCAACAGTAGATTTACAGATCCATATATGCAACGAACAAGATGGAAGGTGGTCCAACTTTGCGCCTTACCTACAGGTATGAAGGTGAAATCAGCAATCCGCTTCTCAATGTCCCTAACCACATTGCTCGAACCTACAGGAGCTTGTGTGCTTGTACGTGTGCTGAAGGTTATCGCAAATTTGAGGAAAGTAACTACTTAAACACATGATCTCGACGACAGATCAGTTCTAATACCACGTCAAAAACATATGATGACAAGTCACAACAAGTTAAGTTGTTGGAGATAGTCTATAACACTTACTGACGCTTCCCAACTCATGATATGGACTCGAAGTTTGTACATTGTCCAAAATACTATGTCGTTAACAACTGAGCGTAGTCGGGATTCGAACACAAGTTCTCTAGCGATTATCGTGAAGGTTTGTCATGTGATGATATATATGAAGAAGTGATTCCAGAGAATAATTAACTAGCTAATAACTAACCTGCTCTCCATTCTCATCCGAGTATCGAGATTAAAAAGCTTCGACCTCGTCATACGAGGCTTGGCCCGACTGATCAAGTGCTCGCACTCCGTCTTGCTCTGCACCGAGAATCACTCAAACCAATTCAGTGGCGACTAAAATAAGGTAAAGGAAATTGAAACTGAAATCGAAATCGAAATTCAGCCGGCCGGAAGACACGACTCACGAGAAAATTGTGGTAGACGAAGGCACGAGGCTCCCAGGATATTAATTCAGCCCAGCACCTCGATGTCTGATTCTCACCGGCGGTGCTGCGAGCCGGAACGAAAAAACAGAGAGAGAAGCAAAAAAAAAACAACAAGCAGACTGACTGGTCACGAAACAGAGGAGACTTGAAGAAAACAGAGAGAAACAGGGGAGGAAAAAACAGAGGATTTTTTTTTTTTTACATATTGTTTCTGGGAATGGAGAGAATCCCACGGGCTAGGAGAAACTGGTGGCGAGAAGCGAAGCTGTGCTTGAAGCGGGTGCCGGCGATTAAGTTCCTCCACCGCTTGCAGACGAGCTTGCATCGGCCGGCGGATTTCGGGTCGGGGAAGCTGCGAACCAGAATTTCCACCATCAGGTCGTCTTCCAGTTTGAGGAACTGCTGCTGGGGAGGAGGAGGAGGAGGCTTGTTTGCTTTCAAAGCATCTCGGCGTTGCTGCCTTAGAAGCTTTGCTAAGAGAGAGCCGCAAAGTAGAAGGGGTAAGAACCAGTACATCTCAATAACTCGCGCGAGAGCTCAAGGAAGAGGAGCAGACAATTTGATGAGAAAGTGAAGCTTTTGTATCTGAGACTTCCGCCTTTGTTTGCGTTCCCCTGCTCCTCATCGGATTAGAATCTACGCGTTCTCCTAGTACAGTTCGGATTAGAATCTAACACACTTGTAAAAGTGGGTGAATGACTACGGTTATCCCTATAGCTCTGATTATTTATTTACAAGTAGACTGCGCATGGGTAATGGTTATTCACAAAGTGCGTAGTTTAGTGAGGTTTCTGTGCACCCGCAATCTGGATAAAAAAAAACTTCCACCTCTAGTTCATCTTACGTACTACCAAGCATTATCGTCATGGTACGTAATTGACGTGTGTGCATCAAGATGGCATCCTCGTCGGCATCTTGTTAATGTAACTGACGAAATCTCTAATGGTGTTAAAGTTTTTAATGAAAATGGCTAAATTTGTCAAATATGTTTTCAACATCTGGACATTTTGTGTATTTCTTAGAAATAACCTATTATTGTCACAAAGTCGATAGCCATGACTATACAAGTGAATTTTGTTTAAAAATATATATCAAAGTGGATGTCATTTTGGAGAGCACGATTAGTTTGATTTAACTGTGGAAAAAAAATTATTACTTAAAAAGAAAGATATATGACCCATTAAAATTAATTGGAGAAAAAAATAGTTGTCTTCCACAAATGGTAAGTATATGGTTATTCAAATTATAAATAATAATATTATACATGATTATCATTGACAAGGTTATACATAGAATTGGCTCCCAAATGACTACCAAATTTATCCCTATACTAACTTTTTGACTTATACATCCATCTTACCATGTAATTTATTCAGTTTCTTTTCACATTTGTCAAACTCCAACACCGTTATTTCACATTGTGAGGTAAGAAACTTTTATCTTTCATATTTCAATAATCCATAAATATGAAAGTCCATATATAACTGCAGAGTTAGCATCATTAAAATCTATCATTGTCTTGCAATCAAATAACAGTAAAAATCCTAACTCCGATATTAAAACATGCATCAACGTTTACGTACAAATCTCATTAATGGCAGCACCAAGGCTATGCATTCAAGACTTTATACTCATTCACTCGCAGAAACTTGATAGCTAACCACTTGTCCCCTTTGATCACAGCAGAACCGCCTGAAAGAGAACACACGATTCTGATAAGAAATATAACTCTTTCAAATTAGTTACATAACAATACTCGTGGTAAAATATAATATACTACTCGTAATACTCATACTCTAATAGGGATTTAGCGACCACAGTACGATACTTACCATGCATACTCGAAGGATCCATACCGCCATCAGGTTTCATGCTCCAGAAAACTAATGCATCGCCCATCTTAGGCTTCACTGAAAGCCCTAATCTCTCCCCCTTTCTACTGCAACTAATTGGTTTTGCACTAGGGAAAACTGTCTCGCCACCTTCTTCAACATCCGACCTGTAAAATGCGAGGTGCGTCAAAGGGAGATTGGTTCCCGCGCGATCGACAACTCGAATTATTGGGAGAGATTGAATTATGAATCACACACAACTTACTAACAGAGAGAGGATCGCGAAAAAGCATTACGAGCTATACAAACGAAATAAACTTAAGGCCGCGATCGCGGAAGCGGGATGATCTCACTTACAGGTACATAAGAACAGAAGCTGCGCGTGCTCCCCCAGTCTTGTCGTAGTAATCGCTCGGGGAGTAGTCAAAGTGGGGCTCGAATTTCTGCCCGACTTCATAGTGAACGACATGAAGACGTTCCCCATTCTCTGCACAATTTTGGTTTCAAAACGTTGGAAAATTTCGATTCTCACATGGAAATTTCGATTTTGGTAGATTCCATAAGATCGACCAAGAAGCAGCAACAGTAGATTTACAGAGCCATATATATATATGCACTGAACAAAATGGAAGCTAGGCCCAACTTTGCGCCTTACCTACAGGTATGGATGTGAAATCAGCAATCCGTTTCTCAATGTCCGTAACGACATTGCTCGAGCCTACAGATCCTTGTGAGCTTGTACGATTGCTGAGTTTATAGGACAACGGTAAGTATTGGTGTGTCGTGAGAGGAACTTGAACGGTCAGCTCTCATGTCACGTCATAAATAAAGTTGGTCACAACAACTTATGAAGTTGTTCGAGATGGTCTATAATACCGTTTTTACTAAAGCTTCCCAACTCATGATATGGACTTGGAAGTTTGTACATTGTCCCAAATACTACGTGATTAACAAACGAGGGGTCTGGTTCGAGATTCGAACTCAAGATGTGTGATACTATATGTGAAGAAGAAGAAGTACTGTACTGATTCATTAACTAACCTGCTCTCTATGTTCATCCGAGTTTCTGAACAGAAAACCTTCGACCTCGCCAATTGAGGCTTGGCCTGACTGATCAAGTGCTCGCACTCTGTCTTGCTCTGCAGCGAGAATCACTCAAACCCACATTCAGTGGCGACTAACCAGCAGATTTAAGGTAAAAGGGAAATCGAAATTCGAACGACTCACGAGGAAATTGTGGTAGACGAAGGCACGAGGCTCCCAGGATATTAATTCAGCCCAACACCTCGATGTCTGATTCTCACCGGCGGTGCTGCGAGCCGGAACGAAAAAACAGAGAGAGAAGCAAAAAAATAAAATAAAAAGTAGACTGACTGGTCACGAAACAGAGGAGACTTGAAGAAAACAGAGAGAAACAGAGGGGGAAAAAAACAGAGGATTTTTTTTTTTTACATATTGTTTCTGGGAGTGGAGAGAATCCCACGGGCTAGGAGAAACTGGTGGCGAGAAGCGAAGCAGTGCATGAAGCGGGTGCCGCCGATTAAGTTCCTCCACCGTTTGCAGACGAGCTTGCAGCGGCCGGCGGATTTCGGGTCCGGGAAGCTGCGGACCAGAATTTCCACCATGAGGTCGTCTTCCAGTTTGGGGAACTGCTGAGGAGGAGGAGGAGGAGGAGGCTTGTTTGCTTTCAAAGCGTCGTCGAGGGCCTCTCGGCGTTGCTGCCTGCGATCCAATGCTGAGAGCGAGCCGCACCGTACGAGTTTCAAGAACCAGTTCATCCCAATAATTCGAGTTTTCGTAAAGTCGATTTGATCGGAACAAATGATATACGGGAAGACTAGCGAATATTAATATTAAGCCGTGGGGAAGAAGTGAATCCTTTTCCATTTAGACTTCCTTACGCCTTTTGTTTGCCGTTCTCCTAGTCGTGATCGGATTAGAATCTACGCGTTCTCCTGTTACAAATCGGATTGGAATCTATCACTGATGTCAAAGTAGAAGTGGTTGAATGACTACAATTACCCCTATAGCTCTTTTTATTTATTTATTTTACATATGCATCCTTCTTACAAAATATATTCAATTTCTTTTCATCTTTGTCAAACTCCCCAACTCATCTCATTTTTTTTAATGTTTATTAATTACGATATTTGAAAAAGTCTATTGTCTCGCCATCTTATTTCCGTTAAAATATCAACTGTTTTTGTTATTTGAGAAACTATGAAATAGTAATAATAAGAAGTTAATGCCAGAACCTGATTGGTTTATTTCAATTTACAAGTTTGTGTGAAAAGATTGATTTTTTTTTTTATCCAAGATAAGCCCCTCGGGCATGGCCGGACAACAAGAGTACAAAATATATAATAATAAAGAACGGTAGCCCGTATGCAACCGGACTCCCGATAAGAGAGCTTGTTATGCCACAAATGGGCAGCTCCATGAAAGCTCCAAGGAGCGAAAAGACACGAAACTGACACGGGGACAGGAAGAGAGAAAAAACTTCCCTGTAAATGGCTCCGGCTCCAAAAAGAGAAGACTTCCTCGATGTAGGGTCCATGATGACCATTTGTAAATCCCCACAACATGTGACAATCAATATATTATTAGTAAGCATTAATAATACCATAATAGGATTTAACAAAATTAATTGAAAGAGTTCCATAACCTTAGAAGTTGACGGAGCCTCTAGCCATCCCTGAGAATTCTTTAGAAAGACTAAATAGCCATTGAAGAGATAAACTCGAGACTTGCTTTCGTCACAAGTTGAAGATGCGCTCGACCAAAACAATTAAACAAAATAAAAAATGATGAAAGAAAATAAATATAAAATACTAACCTGAAATACATAAATAAAATAAAAGAACAAATAGACACGGAAAGAGGAATCAAGAGAGCAGGAAGGGAAACGGATAATTAAAGCTAAACGGATAATTAATCGAAACAATAACTTTAAAAAAAAAACAAAATAAATCGAAACAGAGAAAGGAAACAGGAAAATTAAATAAAAATTAATTACTGAACGTAATAAAAAAAAACAAAATGAAAAACGGGAATTTCAAATAAAATAAGTCAAAACTTAAAGACCAAATTAATAAGGGAAAGCCTAACTAATGCCGCAAAAGGGGCCAATTAATCAAAAGAGCAATTGCCACAGATTTCCGTCAAAAAATAAAAAAATTCAAAAGAGCAATTAAAAAAAAAAAAAGGAAACCGCCTAGCTAATAAAAGGAAAGAGAAAGGAAGAAAAATAAGTAATAAAAACCAAGATAATTGCAGGCTTAATTAACGGAATTAAAAACACCAGCGCAATCAATGGCTAGGTCCACCACCGACGGCCACCACCGCCTAGTCGGCGTCATATGAAGCAGAGTACCGGCTGCAAAGACGATTGCTATTCAACGGCAGATCCCGATTCGCTGGAGCATTGAGGCCGAAAACATGCAAACAGGCGGCCGTAGATCCAAGAAACCAAAGGCGATCAGAGGTGATAGACACACCAACGACGCCATCATATTCCAGCCTTCAACAGAGGGATCTCAACTTTTAATCAAGAATCATCATGTGATGTATACACTTGGCCATGGAGACCATGTTAAACAAGACGACAGGTGTCGTATTAAGGAAACAGAGTAAATGAGCTCTGTATTTGGAACACTGTCCCTTTACAGGGCAATGTTGAAGAAGATGAGAAAACTGGTGCTGCAGAACATGGCAGATTGAGGGACTGACTTCCCCTTGTAAGGGTAAAACAGGGAGAAATATCCAGCCACCGTCGATGCAATCAGAAACGCGACCGACAGGAATCCCAACACCACCGTCGCATCCGCCGGATACTTGCAGATCACTACTATTTAGGATTTTAAAGCTTTTTCTTTGCCATTCCTGTCGCCATCGGTCATCGGTGGCCGCTTGCCCGGAGAGGATGGGAGAAGGAGAGAGAGAGAGAGAGAGGCCGATTATGGATTAGATAGATCCCTCATCCCAAAAAAGAAAAAACATCGTGAAAAAAATTGATTGATATATGAGATTGCGTGAAAAAAATAGTTTATATATATATATATATGTGTGTGTGAATACAAGTGAATCTATGAAATTTGTGTTGTAACAAATTAAGCCACATGATCTACCACTTGTGCGGGGTCTCGTCATTTCCTTTGAGTTTTATGAGTTCATGACATGCCTGACCCTATAGGAACAATTGAAGTTAATGCACTTCGACCCAAAACTTATTTGAAGTTAAAACAAAGAACGGATGTCAGAGAGCAGCCTTATTTATTTATTTATTATTATGCGAATTATACATGTCATTTGAAATGATCGAGCCTACCAGTCATAAAGTCTTCAGAACAGGGAAGTCGACTGGAGGCTAGGTTTTTTAGAAGATAGAAGAGCACCATTTTCCTTAAGGGAACTACATATGTCATTTGAAGATGGGGAGACTAGGTTTTTCAAAAGACAGAGGAGCATTCTCCCCCTCGGGGGACTCGGTCAAGGTAGAGACATGACTAGTGAAAGCAATATATACGAGAGTAAAACATGATGCATTCTTTCTCAATATATCAAGTTCACCAACTATAGTGATAATGATTTTGTTCATGTATGGGAGATTTTCAACTGGGATGGTAAGAGTTTTCAAATATCATTCTTACATTAAGGGTGAATTGAAACAAATTTTTTTGATTGATCACATTGTGATGTGAGAAAATTGTCTCCATATTTCAACGATACTTAGATATGAAAGTTTATATTAACTGTGGAGTTTTACATCATTAAAATCTATCATTGTCTTGCAATCAAAGAACACTAAAATTTTAATTCTGATATCAGAACATGCATGAACTGAAGGTCTCGAAAAGATTCTTTACATACGATTCTCACCAATGAAGTTTAAATATCAAAACGTGATATAGTTGACATAATAACAATGAAAAATCGGAATCATTATAATAAATCGAGAGGGAAGAAGAGCCAAAAGAAACATCAATGGCCCCTTTTTTTGTCATTAGATCACTCTTCAAAAGAGAAAATCGTTCGATAAAAAAAAAGCACAAGAGTCACTAGACCCTAGAACGTAACCAAGCACATAAGTCAAACCTCCTAAACATGAGAGATGACAAAATCAGGACATGACAGGTCACACAATGAGCTAGGGGTGTTAGTCGGTGCGGTTTCGGTTTAACCGCACCGAAATATCGGTTAACCGCAACCAAAATAGTCCCAAGATCGCTAACCGAAACTGATAGAGACTTCAGTTAACCGAAAACCGCAAACATCGGTTTCGGTTTTCCATTACAGTTAACCGAAACCGCAGGTTCTGGCTCACTTTCTCAGTTTTCGTTCAGAAACCGACCACCCAAAACCGAATTTCAACAACCTTTTTTAATGATTCACCCTCAATTTTGAGTGACCTGCTTTTGTTTCAGCCTCTATAATCACACACCATAAAGTCATCTAAATCAATTGAACATAAAGCCTAAAGCAACCACACAATTCAACCACAACTCCACAACATAAAGTCTACATGCCCACAATTCAACCACAAGTCACAATCACAACTAGACACAAATAACAAGTTCATTATCTCCAAATCATCAACCTAAATGATCCGAGGATCTCGCTCCAATTCATCTAGCCCATAGTCATCATTTACTCCAAGATCTTCATCTAGCCCATAGTCATCAACCTAAGGTTCACTCTATCGAGTGCAAAGGGGAGTTAGAGAGGGGTGACTTTCGAGTTCTAACTCTTAAAAACATTTGAGACTCTTGATGGAGGGTTGTTTTCAATATGTGAGAATTGCGATGTTTGGAATTGCGACTTTGATTGGTTTTGAATCTTACAACTTTTCCCCTTAACCAAAGTAAAAAACCATGTAGTCACACTACTAGGCGGTTATCGGTTTTCTTATCGGTTAACCGCTAACCGATTAATCGGTTAATCGGTTAGCGGTTAACCACTAATCAAAATAATACTAACCGAAACCGAAACCAATAAGAAAGTAGCGGTTATCAGTTAAAACCGATAACCGACTAACCGTTTATCACCCCTACAATGAGCCGCTCTATTTCGATTTCGACCTACGAATTGGACCTCGCAAGAACCCAACGCATCCAGAAGTGAAATAATTTCCTGCAGAATCATGCCAATCTTGCTATCCACTAGGCCCTTTTATATGGTTAGATTGAAATTGGGCTACAGTGAAAAAAAGCCCATTTAAATTCACCACCGTCTGAATCCGTATAGGAGAAGGAAAGCCCGCGCTTATTATAAGACTTTCCGTTGTTACTCATTTCAAACTCGCCGCTGGTCTTCCTACTATTTACTGCCATGGCGACGGAGAGCCGCGCTCCCATGGACTTGACACGAATCAATGGCGTCCTTCCTTTTTGGGGAAGGAAAAGACGACGACCAAGTTTTCCCTATGAACCCTACCCGGATTCTCCTTTCAACAAGCTCTGGGACAGTCTCGTCTTCGAGATTCTTATCCGCCTCCCAAACCCTAAATCCGCCGTCCAATGCAAATCCGTGTGCAGTTGGTGGGCATTCCTAATCTCCTCTCGTTCCTTCGCCGCCCGATTCGTCTCCCACCACGAAACCACTGTCCTCGGCGGCGGCGGCGGCAACGGAGAACCGCCGCTGATTCTCCCAGGCAATCCTCAACAGGTCCTGAATTTCCTCCCGGCGCCGGACGAAATCCGGAGGAAGCTCCGGGTTCTCGACTCGTCTCACGACCTGATTCTGTGCGGGACGGAGGAGAAGGTGAGGAATTCCGAAATGGGGAGAACGTTCGTCGTCTGCAATCCCTTCACGAAGCAGTGGGTCGCCCTCCCTCTGGCCCCCGAGAGGAAAACCAGGTACGAACGATCGATTGTCAGATTAGTCTTCGGACCCGGGAAGTTTTGTACGAATTTGAACCAAGGATTCATGGTAGTTTGTATGTATGTGGACGGGATTGATCTAGCGGCGGACTTCTTTTGTTCTGCGTCTGGGAAATGGTCTCGAGACGGGATGGCTTTCAATTGGAGCACCGGACGGTTTCCGGCCCGTAATGTAGCTTCATGTAAGGGCAAGTTGTACTGGAGGAACATGAATCGGCAAGTTGTTGTCTTCAATCCTCTCCGTCAGTGTTCCTTGGTTGTTCTTGATATCTCGAGGTTCTTCGTCGAGCGACTGATGTACTGTGACGTCTGGGCGTCACAGGGGGTTCTGCACTTGATCATAATCGAGCATCAGGGAACTGTTCGATCGAATGACGTCTTGTGTGTTTGGAGACTGGATGCAGGAGGTGTTGAGGAATGGAGGAGGCTATACAGGGTGTCATTGAAGGATATGTTGAGTGAGGTTCAGGGCATGGAGATGAAACGTGTGCTGGGTATGCATCCAAACAAGCCGGAAATCGTCTTCCTAGAGTTCGTGCACATCGATGGGAATACTCGTGTCTTGTCCTGCAATTTGCAGAAGCAGGAGCTGCAGTTCTTCACTGAATATCGGTCGGCATCACTGGATTTCCTTCACTGGAATGTGTTTCAGCCGATCCTTCGTTGGCCTACCCGAATACCGAGATACGAGGATTTGAGAGGTGGGTTTGATGGAAGCAGCAGTTTTTGGGTCCAGAAGAGCAACAAATCAACTGCGGCGCGTTCAGAGGTAGGCAGTTTTCTACAAAGACTGCAACTTTAGAGTTTACTAGGTAGCCTTGGATCTTCAGATGGGAAAGAGGAGGAGATAGTTTCTAGAGGTTGTTTGGAAGTTATGGTTTGCTTCCTCTGGCAGGAACTCGTTTCCGAGGAAGTTAAATAGTTATGTTGCTAGATAGGTAATTACCAAGTCTACTTCCATTGTTGGACTGTAGATACCATTTGGAATTTTGGATATATGTACGGTCCTGTAACTTTACATTCAAAGATTATAAAGTAGATTGATCTTTTCGCCTAGTTGAAACTGAACAATATGGGGTACAAACTCGTCGTCCTCAAAGTTTAGTTTCTCATTTCCCGTCATATCTGTCTAGTTGTCGTGTGTGAGGCACCATTCTGCTTAAAATCGGACCAAATCGATATATAACGTACAGATGAACCATACTATATGAATGTGTTTTGCATAAAGAACCAACTCTTCGTTAGAGACGATGACGCTTCATTGGATTAACATTTGAGCTCAAAATTCTACTGCTCTTATTTACAATGGGAGAGTTGTTTTTACATGTTGACTTCGGGATTTCTTTCTAGCAAGCAACTACACACAACACAAGTATGCAGAGCAAAATGAGCTGTAACAGGTGGTCCTGGTCCTTTTTTACAGTCTTCTGAGGAAGTTCCATGGCCCTGTTCCAGTCCCCAACCTGCAAAATCCATGAAGATCAATACCAATGCTACCAAAAGAGAACTTAAATCTAAAAGTAGAATATCAGGGACACTAGGGGAATAAACAAACCTCCAGAAACCAGCAAAAGCTCTGAGGCTCATATAGATGGTAAGAGCTATCCAGAGGCCAATGAACTTGTAACTTGCAGACAGAAACAGCAAACACCCAATGCTGAATATGGCAACCAGAACCTGCACAAATGACAATATATATTCCCTCACATGGATCAAATTTATGCCCAGTGAGCATTCCAGCAAAGTAATTAGTAACTTGGGAGTCAAGGCACGAGAGAGTCATGTCAGTAATACCATTGAGTAGGCAGCATAACCGAAATCGGATGCTCCGAAATTGACGCCATCAAAGACGAAAGCCAATGCGTTGATGGGTTGAGTCCCTGCAACAAACTGATGTTCAACAGAGAAACAAACCATTTTAGTTTCAAATGATATGTAACATTTCTTTCTTGTTTAAAAGCGGAAGGAGGGGAGTACCGGGATGCCTATGCTAATCAGGTGAAGAACATCAACATCGTTTGTGAATATCCGCGCTCCGAATGTCAGCCCCAATCCAAGCACCAATGCCAGCACCAGACCTAGAAGCCATCCTAGCTGCAGTACTCTAGATGCAGTTGCTGTGGCCCTCTCGAAGTCTTTCTGAGCAAAAGCACCTGCGATTATTGCCTGAGACACACAAGTTAACATGAAAGAATCAGCGAATCTGAAATTAAAGAGCTATAGGCACTGCATTGAAGGAATGGAGATTGAAGGAAAGCTCTTTTTTCCTAACCTGGCCAGCCACGGCCAACCCATCAGCGAGGAGTGATGTGGCCATCCAGACCTGCAAGCATATCTGAAATGCTGCCATGGACGTTGGACCTTGTCTTGCAGCCAAGGATGCAGAAAGAGTAACACAGAATGTAACAGCCACTACCCTCATCAATAGCAGAAAGCCTGGGAAGAATTGTATTCAGGTAACGAACCAGAGAGATTTGGTTGAATAAAAAAATGCATTAGAAGCCTGGAAAATACCATTTTTGAGGAACCGGCCAAATTGCAGATGCCTGATGCTGGGTGGTACTAGATCAACTTGTGCAATCAATTTCCACAGTAGTATGATTGAGATCAGGTACCTGTAATCAACATTGATCTGAGAATCTTACTACAAGCAATGGAAAGATAACAACAGATGTATAACTATACGGATCAACTCACTGCGATATGATGTGGGAAATGGCGGCACCACTGACCCCGAGACGGAAAACAAACATAAGTATAGGATCCAAAATGATGTTTGTGACATCACCGGCCACTATGAAAACATGGTAATTAATAACAGAAAGAGAATTAGTATGAAACGGTGACTAACATGAACAAAGATGCTGCAGAGTTCCAAAAAGCCATACCAGTAGCATACAAAGGGGTTTTCGTATCCTTGAAACCCCGAAAAACACCTTGCATTGCTAAGGAGAGGAGAATCGCAGGAGCACCAAGCGATCTCAAGGTCAAGTATTGTTGTGCAGGAGCTAACATCGGCGAGTCCTGTTACAGAAATAAAGAAGCCAAAGGTTGACCTTCTGATATTGATCACAAGGGGGCAAATACAAATCTCTTTGGTTCTCAAAATGAATCTCTAGTATCTTGTTTCAGAAGCTAACTAATGTACTCACAGATTTGACCCCCATGAAGTTGAGAAGTGGTTTTGCAGCAGAAATGAGGAACACAGTTTGGACAAGGCCAAGAATGGCACCAATGACCAGAGCTGATGAGGCAGAAGGAATATGTCTTCTTTCATTTGTGACCTTACTAGTCGCTACCTCAAAGCTGCTGACATCTCCGGAATTTGGCGGTTCACCTATGAAAAACGAAAACAGTAGCAAGAAAAGATGTAACTTGAGTTAGAATTCATTGTAGGTTGGAAACAAAATGGTGAGAAGAAGAATGGTTTCAGAACATGGCATAATACCATTTTGTGGTATCAATTCTTTACTCTCATTGGTAGTAACTAAGCCGGTTTCCAACGACTCGCTCTCTTCTGCTTCTGCTGCCACTTTCGCCATCACATCTTCCTCGGCTACAAACGACGTTGTAACACTGACTAGTGGGAAGATTGCAATCCTCGAAACTTGATTGAATAAAGCAATGGACACTCCAACAGCAGCAAGTTCTACAGAACCTGATGAGTGAATTGAAAAGCAAAGTTCCAATGAGTTACCAAAAAATGAAGAAAGATTCAATTTCATTGAAGATCATTACCTATTCGGCCAATGAACGCTGTATCAACAAGAGAAGCAATGGGATCAGCTGTCAAAGCCATAGCAGCTGGCAGAGCTATTCGAGCTATCTCTAAACCTAGCTCATCCAGTGTAAGTACCAGCCTGCAATCAGCAGCCATCAACACACAACTGAAAACTTTGATCTACACATTAAAACTACTGCATAAAGTGAAAGAGACTGAAGCACAAACAAAGTACCTAAAATCTTTGACAAAAACCCACAGAGGGAGTTTTGGCTTGGCCATAGATGGAAATGAAGGATCTGAATCAGCCATCATTTGAGCCAGCACCTAGAGATTAGAGACCCACCACCAAAAAGCTCTCTATATACTAAGAAAAGAAGAGACAGGAGATTAGGCTGGGATTCTTAGATTACTTAATCCACAAAACACCATTAGCAAAAGAATCCAGTAAGGGAAAGAACCATCACTCCGCATTCCTGCCTAACATAACTGATTACTCACTTTCCAAACTACTGAGATGTATCGAATTCCCAAACCAATACGTTATAGAAAGTCCACCAAATATAAAGCAAGCTTCTAGCTTTCCAGAGATGAAGAGACTTGAGAGAGAGAGAGTCACTCTTACCAGAGCTCAAAAGCCACTGTTTCTCTCTCCCGACTAAACTGTCGTCGCCATAATAAGGACAGTTCGGTTCCCTTAGTTGAAACGAAAGAAAGGGAAACGTACCAAACAGATTTCAGACCCTTTTTTCTGAAGAAGACAAAAGTGGTTTTGTTTAACGTTTTATCGCCATGCAATCAAAGCCCTTTTTTTTTCCAACCCACCTGCTTGAATCGGCGAGGTTTGTTGTTTTGTCAGCAAAGGTTGCAACTTTGACACTTCATAGCAGAAAAATGGTGGAAGACCCAGCAGAGTTGCAGAGAAATAAGTGTGTGGGAAATCTGTGGCTGATAAAGGGAATTTGCGTATGTGGAAGAAAAATGAGAGGAAATGTACCAAACCCAGAAACTGAGATAACTAAAAGGAAAAGTTTCCATGGAAAGGTGACTAATGGGGAATGGTTGGCTACTAATCGATTCAAAGCAGTAGAGACGGGGAAGAACAGTGGGACTATGACATAACAAAACAAAACGAAAAGATGTTTAGAAAAAGATTGGGAATGAATCATCCAAGTGGCGTGATTCCATTGCAGAGACTGAAACGCCATTACTGATAATTAATAGTATCCGTTGAACAGTGGGTGAAGCTGAAGATAAATTTGTTTGCATGCTTAACTTAAAAGAGCTACGAGTGGCTTCCAAGTGTGCCTGATGATTCATGAGTCATTGAGCCAAGAATTGAGTTGGCCACTACCCACACCGCTAATAAATAACACCCCACATTCAAATTCGATGCTCTAGAACCATAAAGTAGCAATCTTTCTACGAAAAAAAAGCAAAACAAGAAGTGGAACTGGTGGCGGTGGCACAAGGTTCCAATGGCTCGACGGTGGCCGGTCCTTGCAATTAGTTGTTGTGAGTGATGATGATTAGTTCAAGTCATGGCACATCTCGAATTGAGATAGTATCAAGCAAGTCGAATTGAAATCGTATTAACTATCAAGTAAATCGGATTATGATATAATATCAATTGGTCAATTATAGATAAGATCATGACGTTACATGATCAAATAAGTTCAATATGATTATAAAACTATTGATCATAGCACTCCTAGGTTGAGATAGCGTCGGGTTTGTATTTTGTAACGACGAACATTAACCTCGGGAAAATGTTCACTTGCTTACTTTTTCCCGCCAAACTCATCATAAGAAAGCAAGTCAGCCAGTTTTTGAATAGGCCTAACAAATGTCAAAAGGTTCTCGAGTTACAACAAATGTCAAATTTCCCCTTCTCTAATGAAAAATTTGGCAAATTCGTATCCTCCCAAAATCTCATATTGCAATTCCAACGATTTACCACCTAGTAACTACACCCCGCCAATAATAATATCATCAAGCAAAAAAACGAGGCCAAAGAATCAAATTCTCAGCAAACCACCACTCACCTAGTGGCTGGCAAAAAGAATCGACAAATTCCTGTCTTTCTCTTCTTTTTGTTTACCACAAGCCGAGGGTCTTCCACCAGAAGCCGCCGATTCCGAGCCAGATGACGATGTTGACGATGGAGATGAGGAACCCGTATCCCCACCACTGGGCCAGAGGGACGTAGCCGGCGCCGTAGAAGACCGGCGCCGACCCGATACCGTAGTGCGTGAGTCCTCCCATGAGGTTCGAGAGGAAAGACAGCACCATGGCTCCCATGTAAGGCGGGGTTCCCAGGGCGCTAGCCACGGACAAGAACGCGGTGAACATCGCACCAATGTGAGCCGCGCCACTGGCGAAGAAGTAGTGGGAGTAGAAGTAGAGGAGGACCAAGATGCCGAACGACGCCTGCCATGAGAGCCCTAGTCCACCAACAACCTGCAATGCAAAAATCCAGAGTCCTGAAAATGTCAGTTATTCGACAATGGCTTGGTGAAGATGGATGCTGATGTTAAGACGAGGTAAAGGAAGGCACAACGAACCTTGACAACGGTTTGACTGAACCAGGAAATGAGGCCATACTTGTTGAGGTACCCTGCCATGGCGATGAGGGCTGCAAACCACGTTAGGGTATCCCACGCTACTGACTCGGCTAAGCATTCTTTCCATGTCACCACACCGGAGATTAGGAGGACCGACAACCCGAGAATAGCAGCAGTCACAGCATCGATGTTCAACACGCCACCAAATATCCAGAGACCCACCTTCATAAGAGAAAAAACCAAAACTTGATTAAGGCTCCTAGTTACCAGAGTGCACTAATTGTCAATGCTAGATTGCTGATCACAGAACTAAGGCCTCAACAATCATCCATCATTCCTGAAACCGATTCGCTATCACGTAAATAAATTCAATAGAAACAAGATTCTTAAATGCAGCAAACAAACACTAACCCATCAGATACCTAAGCTGAAATGCTACATTCGCTAGGTGTAACTAAGATTCAAGGGAGAAAAGATTCTTAAATGCAGCAAACAATCACTAACCCATCAAATACCTAAGCTGAAATGGTACGTTCTCTGAAGCCTGCAAGGAAAGCACTAAGCTTTGTACAAATCACCTAGAGGCTAGAGCCCAAGCAAGATTCAACGAGGAAGTACAAGAACAATACCGTGACAAGCAGAGTTCCAGCCATGATGATCTCATTCTTGGTCATCGGCCCCATCGATGCCAGCTTCTCCCTGGCCAATTTGGGCGCATCAGGGCTGCTCTTGATCGTTGGCGGATAGACGATGTACAGAATCAACGGGACAACGAGCAGGGAAACCAGACCAGGAACAAATGCAGCCTTAGCCCAATCAGTCCACCCAATCGTCTGCTTAATCGTATTCATAGTCAAATTCACACACAACGGGTTAGCCGCCATGGCAGTCAAGAACATCGCCGACGAAATCACCGAGGTCTGGAAACAAGTCAACATCAGCCACGAACCGAGCTTGTGCTCCGTCCCGTCGCCCACATTGCTACCGCAGGCGACGCAGAGCGACTTCACGAGCGGGAGAAAGATCCCTCCGGCTCGAGCCGAGACAGACGGGATCGCCGGAGCGAGAAGCGCCTCGCTGAACACCAAGCTGTAACCTAACCCTAAGGAAGAGGATCCAAACAGGGACACGAATTGGTACGCGATTCGGTTACCTAGTCCCGTTTTGATGAACCCGCGGGCGAAGAAGAAGGCGAGCGCGATGAGCCACGGGATCGGGTCGCCGAAGGCGGAGAACGCGGCGGCGAAGGGGAGGGTTTTGGTCAGTACGGAGGCACCCAATCCCATCAGCGCGACGGCTCCGAGCGGCAGCGGCTGCGTGATGATTCCGACGATCGTGGCGAGGAAGATTGCGAGGAGCTGCCACGCCTGCTTGGTCACTCCTTCCGGTACGGGGACGAACCAGAGAATGACTCCTGTAGCGATCGAGGCCAGCAGCGGCTTCATCGCCGCCCCTTGCCATGGCTGCACCGGGGCTGGCGCGGGCACCGCCGCGGGAACGGGAACTGGAGCTTCGGAGGAGGAAGCCCGGATTCTGAAGGTGCGGGGGGAGGCATTAGATTTGAGGAGGCAGGGAGTGGCGAGGGGAGAGAAGGAGAATCTTCCTCCGGCGGCGACGGAGGCGGAGGAGGAGAGGGAGGGGAGACGGGACGAGAGGCGAGCGGCGGATCTGAGAGTGGGAGAAGGGAGGCGGCGGGATTTGAGAGAAGGGAGGGAATTGAAGGCGAGGGAGCAGGAGGAGGAAGTGGTCAAAGCGAGAGACGCCATCTGGCGGTGGCCGCAGCGGCGGCGCGGCGGCGGAGGTTCAGATGGGGGGAAATGGAAAGTGAGGGAGAAGCTGATGTGGGGTTCAGTCCTATTGGCATTTTTTATACATGACTTGGAGAAAGGGGAGATCTTCACCGTTGGATGGGAATGATCGGACGGTTGGCCGTGGACTGGGAATATACGGCTGGCAATTTACGCCCTGAAGCCTCGTTGATACCGCTAGGTGGGGTCGAAATCTCCGTCTCCAGATCTTCATTTATTTTGTTTTTGGAATTTATTAATTTCTAAGGAAAGTTTAATTAATTAATTAATAATTAGCCTCGTTGATACCAACTTTAATTGATAATTAGAGGAGCTAAATATGGGTTAAAGAGATATTATGATACTGAATTGATATTTTAGCGGCAATCAGGCAACGGCGGGGAGATGGGGATTCCACGCTGGCGGGTGGTGACACGAGGGCAGCGACGTGAGCACTTTGGGTGGCTGACAGCGTGGAGGAGATCGAGAGGGAAATGAAGGGTTGACCAATGAAGTGGCAGGGCTTATACGTGGCGGGAGGTGATTGGTAGTGGAAGAAAAGATGGGAAGGAGTGGTTTGTGTGGCAGAACATAGGCCAGGGAGTCTCTGGGGGTCAATTACATTGATAGCCAATGAAGTTTGAAGTTATTGACAAAGTGATCATTGTACTTTTAACATTTAACAAATGTACCACTACAGTTTGAATAAGTTAACGAAACAATAGGTTAGCATGCTAACCATAAAGGGTTTAGCATGTTAAACATGAGTTTTAGTAGTACAGTCATAATTGTAGTAATTATATTTGTTGTTGTAATCGTTGACTTTTGCAGTTTTAGGACTACATTCGAACGCAATCATAATTGTAGTCATTGTTTTTTTTTTCAATTATAGTTGTTTTACTTTTCAGTAGTAGGACTACAACTCCAACCCGACATACTACAACTCATGATTACCCATCAATTACTTCATCTATGACCATCAAGTTTCTCTCATTAAATATTGTCCAATGGCAAACGGACACATAGAGGTCACACTTTTTTTTTTTTTTTCCAAGAAATATCAAGAGATCCTATACAACCTACCAAGACCCTGCCCAACCCAAAACATTAGCGAAGCCAACCTACAAAGTCAAAGGAACACAACTCTAAAGGGGAGAGTAACAGGGCTTTCTGCGCTACTCTATGGGCAGCCCTGTTAGCAGTCCGAGGAACTGCCCTAAACTATAAAGAACCAGAGACGGAAGACCGGAGAAGAGAGCAATCCCGAAGCACCGAACCTCCAACGGAGTCTGAGAGGACGCCTTGACAAAGCTGACGAACCACGACCTCTGAATCCCCTTCAATGATGACCCGAGACAGAGATTTGGCCACCAAAAGGAGGATGGCGTCCCTAGCAGCAAGGAGCTCCGCAAGGTAGGGATCAACAATGCCAGGATGAAGAAACCCAACTGCCAGAGCCACATGCCCGTCTGAACTTCGCACGACTAGACCAGACGAGCTCCCAGAAGGCCGAACAGCAGCGTCAAAGTTGATCTTCAAAAAACCATCAGGAGGCGGGGACCAGAACGAGCAGCGGGAGGAGGAAGGTTGGGGCGGAGGAGCAGGGACCAAAGGAAGGACGGAGGACAATTCACGAACTTGGAAAATACACTGACGAGCGAGAGACTGGGCATGAGGTTGGAAATGCTCAAAAACCACCTTATTTCTAGACTTCCAGATCCTCCATAATACACAAACGCATAGGAGGATGTGGGATTGGGGGTGCTCAGAAAGCATAACATGTCGCCACCAGAGACTGAAATTCACAGTCGGGGTCGAGGAAATGAAATCATTTAAGCCCATGATTGACCACAATCTTGTGGCCAAGGGACATTTGAAGAACAGGTGTTCAAGACTTTCCGGGCCCCTCCAGCAAACTGGGCAACGTCTCAGACAGTTTACTCCTCTAGACTTGAGAGCTACTACCGTTGGTAAAACCACTCTAAGGCACTGCCAGATAAAGAACTTTAGCTTTGGGGGGGATACCATGTTCCAAGTTTTCTTCCAGACAGGAGGATCAATGATTTGGACCAGATGTTTTCGGCTCGAGACTAAGGAGAGTTCAAGAGCTAGGTGGTATCCTGTTTTGACTGTATATGAACCATTCTTTGTATAATGCCAAACTCTCGTATCCCTTTGTTGGCACCTTGGGAGCGGGATTTTACAAATAAGGTTCACTGTTAGAGGATCGAAGCAATATTGCAGTCTTGGGACATGCCACTCGCCTCTATTTTCTTTGATGAAGAAGGAAACTCTTGGGGAATTAGTTATGTTCTCGAGGCGAACCAACGGGATAATGGGTTTGTCTGCAATGACCCATTTATCTTTGAAAGCCACAATGTCATGCCCATCCCCAACCTGCCATCTTAATCCCTGGAGAAGGAGATCTCTACCAAAGAGAAGGCTACGCCAACCCCAAGAAGGGTTCGAACCAAGACTAGCATCCAAAATTGTGCCCTGCTGAAAGTACCGACCCTTATAGATTGAAGCCAGAAGAGAGTCCGGGTTTTGCCAAATTCGCCAACATTGTTTTGCTAACAAGGCTTGATTAAAAGCCCCAAAGTCCCTGAAGCCTAAACCCCCCAGAAATTTACTATGCGCTAAGCTTTTCCAGGATACCCAGTGAATTGGGCGTTCCACATTATCTGCTGAGCCCCACCAGAATCTAGCTACTTGACTATTTAGTCTCTTGCAGTTCTCTTTAGGGATCTTGAAGCATGACAATCCATGTACTGGTAGGTTGGTGGCAGCTGTTCTAATCAAAACGTCTTTGGCAGCCTTAGAAAGAACCCGCTGTTTCCAACCTTGTAACTTTTTAACAAGCTTCTCTTCTATAAATTGGAAGGCTTCTCTTTTTGATCTAGAAATGATAGAAGGGAGACCCAAATAATAATCATGTTCTCCAATGCTTCCCACTCCTAGCTGCTCTCCTAGAACCGCAGCTAGATCTGGATTCATATTACGGCTGAAAATTACAGCTGACTTTTGCAGGTTGACTCGTTGGCCGCTCAGACCTTCATAGGCTTGGAATAGGGAAAGAACTGTTGAACATGACTGCGAAGTGGCCTCTAAGAAGAGATAAGAGTCATCCGCAAAGAAGATGTGGGATACCATCGGGCAGTTCGTCCTGATTCTGACTCCTTCCAGATAACCTACTGCTATTGTGTGCCTTATCATTGCCGAAAACCCTTCTGTACAGATAGCAAATAGGAGGGACGATAAGGGATCTCCTTGTCTAAGACCTCTTGCTGGGCGGAAATAGTTCGAGGGGATCCCGTTCACCAGAACCGAATAAGAAACCGTTGTAACACATTCTTTTGTCCATGATATAAATTTGTGGTCAAACCCTAGTACCTTCATCACTTCAAAGAGGAAAGGCCATTCCACACGATCATATGCTTTTTCCATATCTAGCTTTAGAGCCATCCATGTTCGTTGACCTGATGTTAGAGTCCTGAGATGATGAGTTATCTCGTGACTGATTAGAATATTGTCAGAGATTTGACGCCCCTTAATGAACCCATTCTGGGTTTGGGAAATTACACTGGGGAGGACTCTGCTTAGTCTATTAGCTAGGATTTTTGCTATGATCTTATAGACTACTTGACACAGGCTAATAGGTCTGAGATTTTTCATGGATCTAACTTCTGCAGTTTTTGGGACCAGTTACAAACGGTAAGTGAATGATATAAGATCTATTATTGAATCTCTCCCAACAACTCGAGTTATTGGGACCAACTCGTATCAGAAGCCTTCTCTGACCGAGAACTCTTCTTTTTCGAATTTCGCCGACCCCATATGCGAGAAAGCGCACATGGTATTCTCGTGTATTTAGTACATGTGCAAACAAAAGCACTTATGAGTTGACTGGCATCGCATGAGGGGGGGGGTATATTAGTGAGCGGTATAAGATCCATTATTGAACCTCTTTCAACAACTCGAGTAGTCGTTGGGACGAACTGGTTTATGCCACAGAAACATGTGTTATAAACATAAAATTGGTAGTGAGAGCTTAGTAGTAACTTTAAAATATGGTGACCATTCATGCCAATGACCCAATAATGATTCGAGAAGCTGGAAGGGACAAGGATACCCCATGCTATGGCAATATGTCATATATGTGGAACATAATTTGGAGCCACACATAGGATCAAAACAAAAAAACAGAAGAGCGAAGAAAAAGAAAACCCAACCACGTGCCTTTGATTTCGGCTCCAAATCCCCACTGCTGTACAGAACAGAGAGCATGCACAACAGGACAGCTCAAAACAACGTACGGACAACGAGAAGGAAAGAAAACGGGAAACCGCAAGTGAAAGTGACGAGTGATGTGGGTTAGCATGCCAAAGTTGTGGTCTCACACACGCCCTCGTACTTGGGCCTTTGGGCTACTAATCTAAGCCTAGTGAATTGGTAGACCAGCCCCACTCATTGTGGGCTTTTCCCCCCCTGTACTAAGGCCCACGAAGAAACCCATATTGGTATACCGTATACACTCGTTCGCTACTCCTCGATCGAGCCCAAAGGTTAAAGGGGAGCAAAAGGGTTTGTTAATCACCTCACGACAAGAATGATTTCATATATTTTTCCTTTTAAGTTGCATGTCCAAAATGTGTCATTCTAGTATTCTACAGTCAATACATGTCCTTATTTATATTACTTAACTCTCATTTAATTTGGCACTCAAACAATATGGTCATAGTTATGGACCAAAAAGATGGTACATCAAGAGTTTCATCAACATGATAGTGTAATCACGACTTAGATATTTTTTTTGAGCTAGAAGACCACAATTCTTGTTAGGAATTGAGTGTTTAAGTTAGGACATCAATAATTAGTGTAGGAAATAAGTGACCCACCACCATTGAAATGAAACAAAGAGGAGTAAAAGGGAACAAAAGAGGCAGAAATCAAACCCCTAATAATCATGTAGTTAATGGTAAACCGAACCCTCCAAATTTCCATATAAAAAATGATGGAGTACTACACTCACATGTATCATGTTAGTTATGCAACACAATAACAAAC